GGACCGCAAACCCTGAAACCGTCTAATAAAAAGCTCAATTTCCATTCCCTAGAACGGTGAAGAATAAGGAGAGACGATGATTGATGTTAATGGATAAAGGGGTATAACGAAGGGATTTATAAATAAGCTTTATATTTAAATAATAATCAATTAATTCATTGTGTCGGGGGACAGGAAGCCAGTCTGTATTCATACACGTTTGGCTTTTATCGAGGTCCCCTCTACCCCCCCTAAGGCCGAATTACTAACCTCTCCCAGGATGCAACCCCACAACAAGCTGACTAAGTACATGCTCACTGCTAGGTGAATAGGCGCATTAGGTGATAGGAAATGTGCTCAACCATTTCTGTCCTGCGTTCTGTTCTGTCTAGAATACAGAATATATTAAAGAGTAACAGAATATAACTCCTATATAAATAAAATATATATATACAAGAAGTTGGTGTATAGTTAATGTTAGGTGGATTGCAGGAATGGTGTATTAATTGGTAGCAGGAGTACCTATGTGGCTCTCATTTTTAGAAAGAGCTGCATGTATATTAGGTTAAACATTGTAACGGTTCTATTGTTACGTAAAGTATGGTGACAATAAACACAGACACTAAGATACTATATATATATATATTTGGTCGAATATACAGAAGTACACAGGTGATACTTTGGTGTGAGTTGAGCGCACTGATTGATTGATTGATGAAGATTAAGCCACCCAAAAGGTGGCACGGGCATGAATAGCCCGTAAGTGGTGGCCCTTTTAAGCCATTACCAGTATCAAGAGCTGATACTGGAGATCTGTGGAGGTGCGAATGCACCCTGCATGACGGGAGATGTCTCCCTTGTGAATGTGTTAAGATGAAGATGAAGCCACCCAAAAGGTGGCACGGGCATGAATAGCTCGTAAGTGGTGGCCCTTTTGAGCCATTACCAGTATCAAGAGCTGATACTGGAGATCTGTGGAGGTGCGACTGCACCCAGCGTGACGGGAGATGTCTCCCGTCAGCGCACTGAGCGTCGGTACAGTATTTCGCAAGTGTCTGCTCTAGACCACACTTGAAAGTAGACTAGTTAATGTTTGCTATTCTGCTGCTTATATGCTCGGGCAACCTCACCGTGTTGCCCGGGCAACGCCTCACCTCATTCATCTCCAAAGGTTGACAGGAATATTAACAATGCATTTGGAGCGAGTATATTATTGGGATAATCTACTCGCTACAACATATTTATTAGAGCAGCGTTGGTACTTTTATGGGGCCCTGAAGTCATAGTGGTTTGAACTAAGTATATTGTGTTTATCGAGAAAGGAATAGAGCTGTTTGTACAAGAGTTTCCCAAACATTTTGGAAAAGGTGAGCAGGATTGATTTTGTCTAAAATTGTCTAAATTTTCGGATTTAGGATAAATGTCAGGATTGTCTAAAATTGTTGATTTCTTTGAGATCTCCACTCTTATGGATTGGGATGTATTTAATTTGTTTAGCTAAATAATTGTGGGGTTCAATCTCTGAGCCCATTATGTGCCACTGTCGCCCACAAGATGGGTATGAGGTACATAGTAAATGAACTAAATAAATGAACTTTTGTAAATTGAAGTCTGAAGGGTCGCAGTGTGCTGGAACTGACGCATACGCTAAATTTAACCGTAGAAAGAACAGCTTTTTAATTATTGGCCTACATAAATCGTTGATTATTCCTAATGTGGCTCGCATAGCAACGGTGTGGGAAAAAGAAAAGTGAACAATGAGTCTTGAGAATGTTTCTTTAGCCTACCCTTAAATACTACATCCTAATGCGGTAAATAGAAAATTATTTTAATGGGTAGCTTTAGTAAACACAATCTATATACGTACCTTACAATGTTTATCAAACTTAGTTTAAATCCTTGATATAGTTATATAATTTTAAAAGCAAAACTCGAATTGATTTTGATTAAAGATTAGTTAGTTTAGTTCATTTATTATGCACCCCATACCCATCTTGTGGGCGGTAGTGGAAAGGGTTTGTAACGTGCGATTATGTTACGTTGTTGGGTAGATTAGATACACAGCGTTTAGTTGGTTTTCGTATTTATTTAGTAGTCTTGGATACAGCAGTGTCGTAGACGTTAAGTCGGAGAAGAGCAGAGAGCTGAGTGAGGCCGGAGTCCCGGAGCTCTATGCAGGAGAGCGTGGCGGCTCGATGGGGATTAGTACATAACATCCTCTAAGTTTCACTTATTATGCCCCCCCCCCCCATACCCATACTGTGAGTGGAAGTGAAAAAGGTTAATTAATACTACCCAATAGGGCTCGTTTATTGAGCAGCGTCATTCATGTTTTGAGTGAACATATACCAGGATGTACAGTGTCCCAATAAGCTGAGTAAGATAACAGGATTGGCTTCTTTAGAAAATGCCACTGGAATAATTGACTGTATTATACATACAAGTTGGGCATTCTAGCTTGACCCATATGCCTTCAAAGGAAGAGTTGATTATAATCTTAGATTGCCTGTAAACAGTCTGAGAGCAATAATACACCAAGAACTTCAACAAAACCTTGTAAATCTGAGGTTTAGTTTAGTTTATTTATTATGCACCTCATACCAATCCTATGGGCGGTAGTGGAAATGGTTACAGAGGCACATAATGGGCTCAGGGACTGAACCCCACAATTCATTTAGCTAAGCAAGTTACAATCTTGATGAGCTAGTTACAAAATTCAATATAAGTCGTCACATCAACAGCGGGTTCGAGATCGACCTCAAGTACAGGTTCTAAATTAAGCAACTGACATATGTGGAGAGCTAGTGTCAAAATTTATATGTTTGTCCTGCACACCGCCTCCCATCCAGTGGGCAGCGGTGGATTGGTTACAATCACTCTTAGTTACTACCTACAGTTAGCAAACTGGGGATATTTGGCTAAAATATCTGGTAGCAGATCATTTTGAATGAAAGATTTACACATCGCTGGAACATTGGTTATAGAATTGTCTTTAAATTCACGTATCTTTTCGCACTCCATCACATAAGTGACGGAGGGTGTGTGAATAATTTTATTGACACAGTTTACATTTGGTCAGGTCTACATCGGCAGATAATGAGAATTCCCAGACATACTTGTAACCGAGTCTAAGCCGAGCAGTAGTAACATCTAGAAGTCTGCTGATTTTATTGGATGAACCATAGATGTGTGGCTCCTCTTCCTTGATAGTATGATGATTACATAAGACTGGTATTTTTACATTCTTGCAAAGCCACTAACACAGCATAGCGTTTCGGGCAGGTCCTTAATCTAACATATCAGGTAAGATGAAAAGGTACATTATAGCAAGATTTTATATCAACATATAACTATAATATAAATTGAGAGAGGTGATATTACACTGGTGAAGATATATGTCTTAAGTACTAATATTGGGGAAGTGGGTAGTACAAGTTACAGTGTGAGTTTGAAGCGCAAGGCAGGAACTTATGAGGATGAAATTAGCTACTCTTTGGTTTGACTTGAATAAGGCGTAGGTTGGACAATATTTTAATTCATCAGGGAGTGAGTTCCATTGACTGGGTCGTTTTATTTGCATGGAGTGTTTGTACAGATTTAGTTTGACTGGGGATTTCAAAGAGATGTCTCAAGAGTCTGTACAAGAATGTAAGAACACTTGTATATACAAATAAAAAATAAAAAAAAAATCCCGTGGCGATAACCACCGTTCCCCGTGGAGAAGTGATAACCAACCTAACACAAGGTAGGTTGGAAACTCCTCCTTCATGTCATTGGTTCATTAGCCAGAAACTTAGGGCCCATGCAGGAATATCCCTAAAAAAAAAAAAGTGGCCCCAACAATGCATCCTCCAAGTCTGGAGGATGAGCAGGAGCATTGTCGAGAAGCAGGCCCTTTAGTGTCAAACTTTTCTCTTGCAGATATTTTTTGATGGCAGGGCAAACCACTCTACAGCACAGTTTTTCTGCACATTATATATTTTTTAAAACTCTTGGATTTTCGGAATGATACACGAGCAAGGGTTTAATTTTCAAATCGCCACACAGCACAAGAGTTAGCCTATCCTGACACAAGTTAGCCCAAGTTAGCTTGTGTCCGGGCAGTGACGTCTCCTCTTGGGTAATGTATGTCCTCTTCGGCAATTTTTTCCAGAATAGCCATGTCTCCTCACAATTAAACACTTGTTGTGGAATATATCCATCAATACAGTATCTACAAAATCTTTAAAATCACGAACAAATCTTTCAGCCCCTACTTTGAGCTGGCACCCTCACCATGCCTCACAACACTATGAATACCACGTCTTTTTTCAAAATTTCTCAAACCATCCCCTACTCACCTTAAACTCTTTCGTATCTGTAAAACTCGTTCTAGCGGTTTTCTTTATAAGATCTTGCATGAAGATTTCATTGTTGACCAAACCACACACTGGAAATTGAATAGACGACGACATTTCGATCCGTCCTGGACCATTATAAAGTCGATTGTGATGAGATGAGGGAAGCAAGAGCATTAAGTAGGCAAGAGAGAGAGGTGAGGAGATGGCAAGTATGTACGTATGTACATGAATAAAACATGTACATACTTATACATAACGTGTGTAAATAGTGTAACAAACACAATAACAGTATTTTGGGAGGAGGAATGTTGGCGAGTAATGTGTTGGAGGAGGGAGGGAGGACTGGCAGGGTGTGGCAGCTCACTCATGTTTTTGGGGCTCACCATACCAACATAGTGGATCGTTATGGTGAATACATACGTAGATGGGTATATACAATGTGTGTATATAGTGTAATAACAGCAAAAACACTGTTTGTAGAATAAGTCGCATATATGAGGCCCATAATTTTGAGCATAGCGATGTTCTATACTTTGAATTATATAAATTCCACAAATTACACACTTTTAAATAATATTACAGCAAAAAAAAGAAGAAATGAATGAGAAACTTCAAAATAATTGCGCAACATTTTATTCGCAGCAACTGCCGTCGCACGGGGTGGCGGGGCCGACAGACCCCCATCGCTCCAACGCTCAGCGCCCATAATTTGCTCAACTTCCCAGCTCCATCGCAGCTAAAGTAAGTCACATACAATATTTTTTGTTTAGTTTCCCCGTGATCAGACTCTGCATTTTAACAATATAAGAAGAGAAAAAAAATTTTTGGAAAGAATTTATTTCTTGTGCACCAGGGTGTTATTTGGAGACAGAGCAGTTCAGTGGTTAACTACTAAATTTTTTTTTCTCCCACACACGCACCCCCCTAGGAAGCAGCCTGTAACAGCTAACTCCCAGATACCTATTTACTGTTAGGTAACAGGGGTCATCCCCTTTTGTACCAAGAATCTGCTAAAGCTTTTAGGGCTAATCTTTGACACTCGTTTGTCTTTGTCGCCCCATATTTTTTACGTCCGAGTTGAATGCTCTAAGGCCCTTAACTAACTTTAGGTCATGTCCCATACTTCTTGGGGAGCTAATCGACACTGCTCCTCTCTTTACATTCCTCTCTCGTTCTGTCTAAACTCGATTATGGCCCTGTTTACTCGTCTGCTTCTCCTTCTACCCTTCACCATCTGGACACACTGCATCATACTGGGTTACGGCTCAGCTCTGGTACCTTTCCTTCGACACCTACCCTAAGCCTGTATGTTGAAACTGGCGTCCTGTTTCTACAGGATCGCCATGATCGCTACTGTCTTCTCCACCTTGTACGGTCCTTACAGCACCCTCACTCTTGCTTATGTCATGCCTTGACCTTTACCCATCCTGTGGTTCCTGTTCCCCTTCACCACCTATCTCTTTCTGTACGGTTGTCTCTCTTACAAAATGCTCTTTCAGTTTGTGTTACCAATATTTCCCCTCGTGTCATTCCGTCTTTGCCCCTATGGAGGGGTCCCTGTTCCTAAATTCTGTAAGCCTTGACCCACATGACTAAAACTTTTACCCCTCCTACAGTTCTAAATCACCTTTTCCTTGAACACTTTTCTTCACACTTCCACTCTATTTCCGTCTTCACCAATGGGTCTTAAGTCTGCAGACGGTGTAGGCTACTCTGTTGTTTTTCCTGACTGCACCTTTGTGTCTCCTGCCTCCGGAGACTAGCATCTTCATGGCAGAACTTTATGCTATTCTCTATGCTTATCATCAACTCTTTCTCGCTGTCAATCCTCCTCTGTGTTTGTAGTTGACACTTGCAGTGCCCTCATGGCTCTAGAATCCTTTAATCCAGTCCATCCTTTGGTAGTTGAAATTCAACATTGGCTGTTTCTTATCTCCAGTAGATTTAAGACAGTGGAATTTCGCTGGATTCCCACCCATATTGGTGCGTTCTTAAATGAGCGTGCGGACACTGCCGCTAAGGAAGCTATCCGCACCTGTCCCATCTCCCGTAAAGGTATTCCTTATTATGACTTTTACCCAGTTATTCATTTCCCCATTCTTGCCCGTTGTCAGGGTTGTTGGTCTTCTGTTACTGGTAACAAATTGCGTGCTCTTAAGAGTAGTGTGTTCCCGTGGCCTTCCTCCTACCACCGTAACCGGTGGTGGGAAACGGCTCTGGCGAAGTTGTATATTGGTCATACACGTTTAACTCACGGGCACTTAATGGAGCGCTGCCCTGCTTCTTATTGTCCAAACCGTTGTCTCTACATGTCCTGACTTCCAGGACTTACGTGTCTTGCTTCCCGACCATCCCTCACTGTCAATTGTCCCTCGATAAAATTCTTGGTAAATTCAATACCTTTGATATTGTTCGCCGTATGCGTTTTTGTTTTTGTATTGGCGACGTTAGTGATATTTAGCGCACTATGATTATCCCACACATTTGATGGTTTGATAATTACTGTACTGTACAGTACTTTGGTTTGGAATGTATCAAATAAAGTTGTTTCATGTATTCAAATGTGTGAGAAAATCCACTGGGGCTGTGAGATGAAGCGAACCTGTAACAAAGGCATTGCCAGTTGCATACTCTACCACCACTGATGGTAAAAGTCTTACAACTGGATATCTTGTGTGACGGGTTATGGTATCACAGCTATACTGAACCAAGATGGTATGGCTCTCCCTCGCATAAATGAAAGAAATGCTGCTATTGGCCTTGCAGTGTATAAGTTGCATGTGGAAACAAATGAAAATTATCAAATAAATAATTAAACAATTTACTGAAATAGTAATGAACAAAAATAACACATGACAATACTTGACTATCATGTAATGCAAAGGTGAACAAGTTAGTATGACCTTAAATGCAAAAAATAAACTATAAGCAATGAATAAAAGTATGAAGATATACTGGTGTTCTGAAGACAGCTACCATACCACCATGGCATCAGTCACACGACGTTGGCTGGAAGCGGACGACGGGTTAGAGACACGAAGGTGATCCTAGAGCACTAAGGGAGAGATTGCCTCTCCAGGGAGGCAGCGCTCTTTATATAGTCCGGCGGTGATGACTCATCCAGTGTCAACACGAGGTGGACATCTGGTCAACTAGCAAACTGCTTGTTGTGGCTGGCGGTGCCTTTGTGTTGAGCTGTACCACTGTCAGTTGAAAGCGGCTAACTGCTTGTTTGTGGGGACAAACTGCCAGTTAGCAGTGGCGCCCGGCTTGCCTCTGAGTCGTACCAGGCCGTGCCAGGCCCTGGGGGGTATGGAGAGGTGGCAGGACTGATGACTCTTCTGGGCTGGTGTAGATGTATACTTCCAGTGCAGAGGCATTGAAGGTGAAGGGAAAAGGCAGTTCCACTGCTATGCAGGGGATTCACGTGACACTTGTGAAGCCACAGAAAGTCTGGAGGCCCTACTGAAGCCAGTTCAAGTATTAAATAAAACCCCTGAAGTACGCCGGTGAAGGGTAAAGTGAAGAGTGAAGCAAGACCGTATGCCCCAACTTCAGGCACACACAGAAAATCACGTTTTGGTCCCGCCTCTCAACTGTGTATTTGAAGTTGGGGCGTATGATGTTGAACTGCTTCAGCCTTCACCTGAGTGCTTGTAGGGCTTACGTAAGACGTTGACTCAAGGAGTGGCCTCAAAACTTGCTGTGATTTATGGGGAAATCCGGTTGTAAGACTTTTACAAAGTCAGTAATATACTGTGGTAGAGTATGCAGCTGCCAGTGCCTTGGGCATGGGTTTACGTCGCCTCACAGCTCCAGTGGATTTTCTGCTTGGTGTATATCAGGTTGTGATTTTGTGTGTGTACCGTATTGTTATGATCGCCGTTTGATAAGTCCTTTCTGGCCTCAAGAGTCATTGTTACCCACCTAGAAAGATTGCAGATGGCCAAAGCAGTTATTTAAGTTAAGAAGGGACAAGTCTTAAACAGAATTTTGCATAATATTTGACTGTAAAGGGGTAAATTGAGGTAGATTGAAAAACAAAATGGTGAACCGGGCAGGCGGTACTCACAATTAGGCGAGTACACTCGGGAACTTTTAAAGTGCAACCAAACATGCTTTAGGCTCTCAAAACAAGAGGTGAGTGGTGGTGGCTCAGGTGCTCAGCCAATCAGAGCACCTAAGGAGGGAGGGCAGGAGTGAGAAGGGGGTGGTATGTGGAAGTTTGGTGACAGTTGTGTGTAGTTTGTTCATCTTCATTGTAAGTTTCATGGCTTGGTGTGCATTTCCCTAGTAAATTTAATTAGGGAAAAATTCAGGTGTTTGATTTTTTAAATCAACTTTTTAAATGTTGAGTTGTTAAAGCCTCAAAGTGCATGGAGTTGGTTTGGGAGTATGGCATCCTCATGCTGTTGCGTGCTCGCGTGAGGTAGCAAAGGTGATGTAAAGTTGTGGGGTGTACATGCTTGGGACGTCCTCTCTCGGGATGGCTGGTGTTAGACCTGTGTGTTTGTCGGTTGTTGAAAAGCCGTCATCCTTTGCTGTTGTGGTATTGATTTTACATTGTTCATCTTGTAATTAATACTGTAGTGCGATATCTAGGGCTACCAATTGTAGGTTTAAAATGTCTAATACAAACAGTTGTCCAATGAGTTTTAATAGGAAATATCATCCACCAAGCACCATTGTACAATTATATTAATTGATAGTATATGGATTGTGCAGAACTGCTTAGAATGATCTTTAACACTTGGCTATATTGGTCATGTCAAATACCTGCACTGTGAATGCTCAAAGACCCTTTCTTTATTCAGTGTTGTCACATACCTCATGGGGGTATGGATAGGCAAACACTCATTCGGTTAAACTTGCCTTGTAGTACTTTCAGAGCTCAGTAATTTGGAATCTGGTTAGCACTTTCCAAATAAATTGACCTTTAAAGTGAATTCCTATTTAGGTTTAAAACATTATACCAAATGAGAAACTCGGATTATATAGCCGAACACCAGAAATGTTATTTTTCAATTTGGTTGCCTAAAGCACATTCAAGGACTACACATTACATGGCATTCCAGGATTCCTCTATACCTTGCCTTATGCTGTAAACATTGCCACAACCCTGTGTTTTATTGATTTAAATGGCCACAGGGAGGCATACAACACTGCAGATTATGATGTCATTAGTTATCCACTGTGCTGACAAGTGGGCTGACTGATGTTCGTTGACACCTGTATCGTGCTTCAATTTAATCGCCAGGAGATCACCCTCTCACTAGACTCGTCTGTAGGAAGTACAGTATAGTATCTCAAATTACCTTGGATCATAAATAGCATAAGACTTGGGGGTAGGAGAGGGTTGCAGTGTTTGTCATGGCTCTCAGTTGTTCCTGGTATTAGGCAATTTAGTTCTGGAATCATTTTTGTTGGCCAATGTTAAACTTTTTTGAAAGTAGATGTTTTTCTGAAAGGGAAGGGGGGGGGGGGGGAACCTCTATGCTTGGATACAGTTATCTAAGTGAATACTTAGACTTATACAGTAGAATAACTACCTTCTTTTCCTTAGTCAAAAAGGTTGCTTGTTTATTTCTAGGGACTTGTATTTTCTTTTATTTTTAACTGCAGCAACTTTCAGTGAATGATAGATTCTTACTGAAAGGACCTTTACTTCATTGTTGTTGCTTTATGGTCATCTCATTGTGTACAGGGATTCCGCGAAGCTTTTGGGGTTAGTCTTTGACACTCGTTTGTCTTGGTCAGCCCATATCTCTTGCCTCCGAGTTGAATGCTCTAAGGCCCTTAACCTCCTTAAGGTTTTGTCCCATACTTCTTGGGGAGCGGATGGCGCACGCTCCTCTATTTGCACTCCTCTCTCGTCCTGTCTAAACTCGATTATGGTTGCCCTGCATACTCTTCTGCTTCTCCTTCTACTCTTCGCCGTCTCGATGCTTTGCACCATACTGGGTTGCGTCTCGGCTCTGGTGCCTTTCGTTCGACTCCCGCCCTTAGTTTGTATGTTGACACTGGCTTTCTCTCTCTTCAGGACTGCCGTGATCGCTGCTGTCTTCACTATCTTGCGCGGTCCTTCCAACATCCTTCCTCTTGCCTCTGTCGTGCATTGACTTTTCCTCCTCCTGTGGTTCCTGTTCCTCTTCATTGTCTCCCACTTTCTGTCCAGTTATCTCGCTTACAGGATTCTCTTTCTGTTCATATTTCTAATGTTTCTCCTCGTATTGTTCCTTCATTACCTCCGTGGAGAGTCCCCCTTCCCAAGTTTTGTACGTCCTTGACTTGTATTACTAAAGCCTTTACCCCTCCTACAATTCTGAAAAGCCTCTTCCTTGAGCACTTTTCTTCGCACTCCCACTCTATTTCCATCTTCCCTGATGGGTCTAATTCTGCGGATGGTGTGGGCTACTCTGTTGTTTTTCCTGACCGTACTTACATGTGTCGCCTCCCTTCGGAGGCTAGCGTCTTTACGGCAGAACTTTATGCTATTCTCTATGCTCTTTGTCTCTTGTTTTCTCATTCTCATTCCTCCTTTGTGGTTGTAGTTGATTCTCGTAGTGCCAAGCAGTGAGGGGGTAGGAGGGAGGGAAGGAGTGAGGGGGTAGGAGAGAGGGGAGGAGTGAGGGGTAGGAGGGAGGGAAGCAGTGAGGGGGGAGGAGGGTAGGAGTGAGGGGTAGGAGGGAGGGTAGGAGTGAGAGGGTAGGAGGGAGAGGGAGGGTAGGAGGGAGGGTAGGAGTGAGGGGGTAGGAGGGAGGGGTAGGAGTGAGGGGGTAGAAGTGAGGGGTAGGAGGGAGGGCAGAAGTGAGGGGGTAGGAGGGAGGGAAGCAGTGAGGGGGTAGGAGTGAGGAGGGTAGGAAGGAGCGTAGGAGTGAGGGGGTAGGATGGAGGGCAGGAGTGAGGGTGTAGAAGTGAGGGAAGGAGTGAGGGGGTAGGAGGGGGGGTAGGAGTGAGGGGGTAGGAGGGGGGGGAAGGAGTGAGGGGGTAGGAGGGAGGGAAGCAGTGAGGGGGTAGGAGGGAGGGAAGGAGTGAGGGGGTAGGAGAGAGGGTAGAGGGGGGGTAGGAGGGAAGGAGTGAGGAGGTAGTAGGGAGGAGTAGAGGAGTGAGGGGGTAGGAGGAGGAGGGTAGAGGAGTGAGGGGGTAGAGGAGTGAGGGAAGGAGTGAGGGGTAGGAGGAGAGGGTAGAAGTGAGGGGAGTAGGAGGGAGGGTAGAGGAGTGAGGAGGGTAGAGGAGTGAGGAGGGTAGAGGAGTGAGGAGGAGGTAGGAGGAGTGAGGAGGGATGGGGAAGAGTAGTGAGGGGGAGGAGGGAAGTGAGGAGGGAAGGAAGGGCAGGATGAGGGAGGGAAGAAGGATGAAGAGGAGGGGTGAGGGTAGGGAGGAATAGTGAAAGGGAGGGGGGAGGAGGAGTTAGGGGGGGGGGGAGGAATAGTAAGGGGGAGGGAAGGAAGAGTAGTAGTGAGGGGGGGGGTGAGGGTGAGTGAAGGAATGGAAAGGGGAGGAGGAGTTAGGGGGGAGGAATGAGGGGGTATAGTGAAGAGTGAATGGGAGTGAGGGGGTAGGGTGAGGGAGTAGGACAGGGGCAGGATGGAGGGGAAAGGAGGGAGGGGGTAGGAGGGAGGGGGGGTAGGAGGGAGGGGGCAGGAGGAAGTGAGGGGGTAGGAGGAAGGGGGAGGAGCAAGGGCAGGAGTGAAGGGATTGGAGGGAGGGCTGGAGTGAGGGGGTAGAAGGGAGGGCTGGATTGATGGGGTAAGAGTGAGGGGGCAGGAGGTGAGGAGTGAGGAGGGAGGTGGTAGGAGAGAGGTAGGGGGTAGGGGGGAGGAGTGAGGGGGGTAGGAGAAAGGGCAAAAGTGATGGGGGTAGGAGGGGCATATTGAGGGGGTAGGAGGGAGGATTGAGGGGGCAGGAGGGAGGGTAGGAGTGAGGGGCGTAGAAGGGAGGGCAGGAGTGATGGGATTGGGGGAAGGAGTTAGGGGGTATGTAGGAGGGGTAGGTATGACCTGGCTATATTGGTTATGTCATGTCAAATTGTTGCATGCTGAATGCTCAAAGCCCCTTTCTTTATTCAGTGTTGTCACATTCCTCATGTGGGTGTGGATAGGCAAACACTCATCTAGTTAAACTTATCTCATAGTACTTTCAGAGACCGGTAATTTAGATTGTGGTAAGTAGAATCTCCAAATAAATGGATCTTTAAAGCGCATTCCTATTTGGGTTTAAAAGGTTGTACCGAATAAGAAACTCGGATAAAATAGTCTAACACGAGCAATGTTGTTATTCAGTTTGGTTGCCTAAAGCACATACAAGGACTAGACATTACCAGGCATTCCTGTATGCCTTACCTTATGCTAAAACATTGCCACAACCCTGGGTTTTATTGATTTAAATGGCCACAAGGAGTCATACAAAATTGCAGGTTATAATGTTATTAGTTTATCCCCTGTGGTGACAAGTGGGCTGACTGATGTCCGTTGACACCTGTATCGTGCTTCAGTTTACTCGCCAGATCGTCCTATCTCTGGACTCGTCTGTAGGAAGTATATCAAAATAATTTGGATCATTAATAGCATAAGAGTTTGGTGTAGGAGAGAGTTGGAGTGTTTGTCGTGGCTCTCGGTTGTTCCTGTTATTAGTTGACTTAGTTTTAGAAATATTTTTGTTGGCCAGTGTTGAAGTTGTTTGAAAGTAGATGTGTTTTTGTAAAGAAGGTGGGGGGTCTCCATGCTTGGCTTCAATTATCTAAGTGATTATAGATATGTTGTGTATAAATGTTTGGACATTAGAATAATTACCTTCTTTTCGTTAAAGTCAAAAGGTAGCTTGATTAATTCTAGGGTTTTTTGTTTTTTACTGGAGCAACTTTTGGTTAATGACGGAATCTAGCTCAAAGGTCCTTTATTTCATTGTTCTTCATTTTAATGTGGTAGTTGTGATATGGATTGTTCTGGCTCACCTGTAAGGTTTTGCAATGTTAAATACTGTATATAATAATAAGAATTTGCCAGTCTTGTAACCATTTTTAGAGTTCCCGTAGATCTTTGTAAGGGCTCGATATCATTTTTTCATGTTCCCTATACCATAAATCTTGGTGTCATCTGCAAAATTGATGTGATTTGTCATTGAGGTATATAAGGTTTAGACCCTTGTGGTACGCTTCATGCCGTATTTTCCAGTCAAATCTGTTTCAGAGGAAGCTTTAATGTATTTGTTTTAATTAAGCAATCTTTTTATCCTTTATTCCATGTGCTTCATATTTCACTCCTAGCCTTTGATATGGTGCTTTATCAAACACAGTGTGTGTGTTTGAATAGCTGGTTATCAGAAAAAAATTGTGAACAGGTTTGTTTTTAACAAACCAATGTTTTGTTGATTTTACAAGAATATTAATGTTTCTTCCCTTCAGGACCTTGCAGATGTGAGGTCAAAGTAATTTTAAAGTTTTCTGCTTGGCAGTTTCAAAAATTTGAGTAACATTTGAAATCTATCTAGCGAGTTTAAGTGGCAGTAAGTTTGGCTGTCAATTCATTTAATAGCTTGGATTGAATTCCAGGTATTTGAAGTTTTTTTGAATGTTAGTTTGTAAGGCTCTTCCCATTTATGGTGCTTGTTATAGGCAGATAGTTATCTTCAGCAGTTTGAAACATTTGTGGTAATGGGATGTCTGGTGTGAATAATTTAGTGTTCATTACTAATATTTGGTAGGACACTTCAGTGCATCATTATATTAACAGATTGGACATGTCTAATGGTTTTGTTTCTTTTCTTCTTACTCGTAGAAAATTGAAGGGTTTGGTACCATTAGACAATATTGTTAGGAAACACTTTCATGTTTCCTATCAAGTTGTGACACTTGTGGGAAAATTTTTTTAGCTAATTTAGTTTAATCTTATCATTGATGTAAATTTTTACATCATTTCCACTAATCAATATGTTCCATAGCTTTAACTTTAGTCTATACATGTTTTAAAAGTGAAATTTGTTAGATTAGCCATTATTTTAAGTTAATTTAAAATTTATCTTTTGCAGTTTAACCTGATAACTATAAAAATGAGTAGTTTGGTATGCAAAGCTTTTAAGTTGTCAAAATTAGTTTTCACTTATATATAAAAAGGTAATATAACTTATGTTAAAGGTAAAATATAAAGCTAATAAAAACTTAAGTTTATAAGTTTAATTATATAAAGCTGTAATATAACTAAGTTATAATATATACTCAAGTTTATATAATTAACAAAGCTATAATAAGTTTATATTAGCTTTATATATTTTGTATTATACCTTTGTTTATTAGTTTTATATAAACTTTTATAGCAATTTTTTTTTATATATTGTTTGTAATATTAATTTCCAGCATGATTAAATTATAGCTACTATCAGGATAAAGTATATAAAGTATTTTCATTAAAAGATTTATTAAATAGTATACAATATAACTAATGTTGACAATTTTGTTTCAGGTTGAGGTTTCAACTGAAGACTCCAAACAACTTCAAAGGCCAGGAAAACATCCAGAGTACCAAGGACAACAACCACCTGTAAAAGAAAAATAAAGTATATCAAACAGGGACACTCATTTTATTAACACTAACACATACAAATTACTACCAAAACCCCTAAGTCCCAATCTTTTAAGATTGGCTCAGCAAGGCCTACCCCTTATTTGCATTTTGAGGCAGGACTTGTTGGCTGAAAGAGTGGAACACATCTTTTGGTTTAGTGCCCTCAACATGATGTACATAGGCTTCTTGTAAAGCCTATGTACATCATGTTCCAGGCACTAAACCTCTGGATGTATCCACTCTTTCAGTGAACAAGCCCTGTAGTTATTAACAATGTTTGCACATTGTTAAGGGTCCCTACACCTATGCAAATCTAGTCCATCTATTGGATGGGTAGTAGAGCAGGGCTCTGAAAAAGCCAAGCCAGGGAAATCTGCAGGACTGCCTGGTCCCCTTCTATGAAATGGGGTAGGATCAGTACAAACTGCATCAATCCCTGCAGGTGGTAACAGTAGGACTTTGGTACACATCTATAAATGGACTAGATAAAAAAAGAAAGCAAGTTAATTATTTGATATAGCTAAAACATTTAATTCAACATACCAGTTTATTGGATGTGCAGAGTAGAACAGCCACACTTCTTAAGCCAGTCAATTCCTTGATACCATCATAATCTCCATTACCACCTGAAACATTTAACCAAATTAGCTTTTAAATTTTGTATTAAAAGTTGCTTTGCAAACTCAAATGGCTAATGTGCCTTAACATTTTATTCTCACTAATGCTAATCAAGCACAAGACTTAGATATGGCTACTCAAACTATTTAAGTTTAACAAGTACTTTAAAGTACAGAAAGAATTTTTACTTTACATTATCTACATGCAACCACTGATGCCTTACTTATTTAAAATATTCACCAACACTAACCCCATTCTGAATGTCAAGCAATCAACACCTTCAAACTCTAGGATGAACAGCTGGACTTCCCAATTCTTATTCTGAAAGAAAAAGCCTATTTAAACTAGTTACATTAAAAAAATATGAAGTACAGTTACTAGTCAATATTTAATTTCTCTTGTACCATTATTTTTTTTGTAACTTAATTATGAACAAATCCATGAGGTCAATTTACCTCCCGGTTGCAATTTTTTTTACAATGTCATGGGACATTTGAACCCTTATCACCGCCCTTGTGGATTTGGTCATTTGATGCATCACTATTGTGTGCAATTTATAGATGGAAAAACTTTTAGCCAATTATTTTAGAACCAAGTAACTGAACAAAGTTAAGCAAACCAATTACCATTTAAGTAAACATTCTAAATAACCTCAATTCTTAAATTGAATAAAGTGTAACATTTCCATTTTAAATTTTCTTTGCTATTCAAAACATTTCCTGCAAGGACTAAACTTTTATTGTACCCACTTGTCAAGGCCTAGAACTACAGTTTTTATCCCCCATTTCCAGGCCCCTTCACTATTTAAATACTAATTATAGCAGTACTCTTAACCGTCAGAATGATAGAGGGCAAAAGTATCTTGGCAATTTCAGGCCTTTAGTCCCCCCACAAAGCAGCCCATTACAGCTGACTAACTCACAGGGGCATAGGGTGAAAAACTCGGCCCACCATTTCTTGCCAGGATTCAACCTGGGACCACAGGATCACATCTCCAGTGTGCTGTCTGCTCAGCTGGCCAGCCCCTGTGCTACTTTCTGTAGCATACAAGTTCCACCAATTGTTCTGTACACTGTTCCTGAAGTTATGTTGGAAGCACCCTCCACAACCTGTCAATGAAACATTTAACATGGTTAATAAAATTTTTCCCCACAGCAATGTTTAAACTTAAATATTTGCCTTTTTCAAAATACACTATTTACCTACTTCCCCCACCCCATCTTTCATTTATTGATTCTAGAAAAAAACCCTTTTAGTAACAATTTGGTAACAATTTAAAAAGTAGCATACTGAAATCTTATTTTCAATTATAATTTAAAGTTGGTATTCCCCCACCCCTTCATCCCCATATTGGTAATACAATTTATATAGCTAAAACATGTCATTCAACATACCAGCTTCATAGATGTGCAGAGTACAACAGCCACTCGCTGCTTTGATACCATTGTAATCTAGCAAAGTACCTGAAACATTTAACCAAATTAGCTTATAAATACAGCTTTTTACTCTAGTTTCTTTGCAAATTCACAATGGTAGTGTTCCTTTAAAATTGGCTAAAATTTTAAATTTTATTAATGCTAATCAAGCAATTAAAAAGGTAGATATGGCTATTCAAGTTAAGTTTCTTTAGTACATTTAAGTGGAGAAAGATACTTCAGACATAATGCTACATTGTTTAACTTTACTATTTAATATATAATGCAAATCTTTAATTTATCATTACTACCACACTCACCCGATTCTGAATGTCGAGCAAACACCACCTTCAAACTCTAGGATGTTGTTCTGGACTTCCTAATCTATAGTCTGAAAGAAAAAGCATATTTAAACTTCAATTATATATTACAATTAGATGAAGTACAGTTACCAGTTATTTGTGTTTTAACTTTTTTTACTTTCAATTATGAAATTCTGTTACAAACATTTATATGAACTGTTTCAGGTTGTGGGACAGATGCTCCTAGATGAACAGAAGATCCAAAAGGCCAAGACAACTCCAGAGACAATCACCTGTAAAAGAAAAATAAACATTAAACAGGGACACTAATTTTATTATCACCAATGCCTAATAATAAGGCCAAAAAATCCTAACAGCCTATCTTTTAACAGGCTCAACAAGGCCTATCCCTTCCTCTGATTTTAGTGCAGAGCTTGTTCCCGGAATGGGTGCATTACACTTTAGTGCCAAACACATTGTACTTATGCTTTACTGAAAGCACTGTACAATGCAAGCCAGACACTAAAGTTTTAGATGCAAACAAGCCCTGTGAGAATTAACAATGCAACCATTGTTAAGGGTCCCTAAACCTGTGCAAATCTAGTCCATCTATTAGATGGGTAGTAGAGCAAAGCTATGAAAAAGCCAAGCCAGGGAAATCTGCAGGACTGCCTGGTCCCCTTTTATGAAATGGGGTAGGATCAGTACAAACTGCATCATCCCCTGTGGGTTGTAACAGTAGGACATGGTTACACACCTATAAATGGACTAGATAAGAGAATTAAGATTAGGTCATTGATATAGCTAAAACATCAAATTCAAACTCTCCCACTTTTGCAGATTAAAGGAGCCTCACTCCAAGCCAGTCCATGCATCATAATCACTTTCACCTGAAAAATATTTCAACAAATTAATTTCAGATTTAAAGCCAATCTTGCTTTACTTTTCAAATTAGCATTCAGTACTTTACAAATTCAGATGGAAAAAATTTCTTTAAGGAATTTACCTTTCCTACATATTCTAGTAGCAGTAGTAAAGATCTAATTTAGCAATACAGTATAAATATATATGGCATCAATTTGCCAAGTTTCAGTAAATGTCATTTGAGAAACTATCCACAACTGCACTTCAATGGCAATTTACATTTATCTTTAGCCAATGCTATATTGTTTAAGTTATTACTATTTTTTTTACTTTTATGCAAATCTATTCAGATTAACCTTTACTACAACTCACCTGATTCTGTTTAAACAACTGACAGAGGTACTTCTGGACTTTCCAAATCACATTCTGGAAAACTATAAATTTAAAACCAAGCTAAAGTAAACATTGAATATTTTTTTTTTACTTTCAAGGGAAAAATATCACTTTGAACAAAACTTCCTGCCATTAACTTTATTTGACTCATGATTACCCTTAGTGTTATACATTTATAGATTAAAGCTTATTTAACAAACATTTAATGTTAACTAAACAAGATTTATATTTCATTAAAATTTTATTAATAAAACACCCTCAACTATGCTGTTTAAGATCTAATGCCCCACATTACAATCTTCAATTTCAACATACCATTCTATTCAACACATTCCTGAAAGGACTAAACTTGCAGATATGGTACCCACTAGCCTAAGCCTAGACTTCCATACCCATTCAATTTCCATACCCTAATATTTAATAGGTTTTTAGCAATTAACTTCTACCCTCTAATTCCAATGAACACAACACTACTTACTGTAGATCTGCAAGTACTTTCCTGCAGCTCTTTGTTGCCAGGACCTTCCACAACCTGTCATGTGAACAGTAAATATTACTAAAAAGTTATTTGCATAGCGATGTTATTTTGTTCATACCTGTACCACCAGTTTAACAGTTTCCGTTTTAAATGGCACACTAACTATTTTGTTGTCCCATCTTTATTAATTACAAACAAAGTTAGTCATTTCAAGTCAACATCCTATAAAAATTTTATTTTCCAACAATAGTCATTAACATTTTTCTGGAACATTGCAAAAACTTTAATTTAACAACCATGTATAACATTTGAATAAAAGCAATACAAAATTTATATATACAAATTCTTATTCTTTTGCAACCACTGCTTACTACTAGGGGGACAAATTTATTCTGTTGAATTATGTACCAAGCTTTTTAGTCTGAAAATTCATAATTAACCCAACTATACTACCAAGACAATGTGATTTTACTAAATTTAGTAATATTTTTACACTAGCAACTATACAAGGCCATATTCTCTCCAGTTATCACCACACTTCTGCAGGTGTAAGGTTCTATCTCCCCCATCTGCAGCACTCATGACCACACTTGGTCTTTATTATAAATTTCTTTATGAACCTGATACAGTACTGTTTATGGTTTAAATGTTGTGGGAACAATTTAGCTACAGTTCTGCCAAAGGAATGATTAACACCATGCAAGCCAACTAATATTAAAATTAGAAATATTTATTAAAAGCAGAAGTTTTTATCATATGGGATGTTATTTTAGAAGAATGGGTGGCGTGGTGGTTATGTTATGGTTGAGTAACATGGTACAAGAGGGCAAGTAGTTGCTGAGCAAGTATGCCAATTTCAATTTCTAGCAAACTGGCAGATACTGGAGAGTTACTGAGCAGATAGAGAGTTACTGGCCACCATTCACTAATGACTAGGGGAAGTTAGCTCAGAGCATCTTTGATGTGCTTTGATGGCAACGAAAATGTTGTCCCCCTTCAAAAGTTAAGCTTGTCTACAGCATTTTGTTTTTAATTAACTATAAGGGGGAGATTCTGAATAGCAAGTGCCAATAGGCACTGCCACTGGCTTATGGCAAAAGATTCTGTAGCAATAGAACTATAAGCCACACTTTCTCCACCCCCCCCCCCCTTCCTCCCAACTGTTCAGTGTCAAAAGGGAGGGGGTGTCCATTTACTGTACCACTTACATTTTAGTGTGGGCTTCATCCACTATTCTGATGTTAGCTGGAACATTTGTGCCAGCTGCTGGTTTGAAAGGGAGGTATACCATGTGCCAATTCAGGAAGCTTTCCACATTCCTCACTGCACGTTAGCTCAGGACCTCACTACCATGTTGGGAGCCAGTTGAAGACTAACCAATCAACATCCCAGGCTGGAGAGCATTGCCAGCTCTGGGAGAATTTACCACCTGCAAAAAATTTAATACTCTTAACAATCTACACCATCTATCTCTTCTTTACCTAGCCCCCCAAACCTTACATTTGTCAGCATTAAACTGCATCTGGTAGTCTTGCCCATTTCAAAACTATAGGGCATCGGTATTTTTTATTTGCCAATTTTGCAACTATTGCAGTCTAAACCATAATCTTGCAAATAACCGAGGTCCAAAGAGAGCTTTTAGGCACTACTTACAACACTTCTCCCAACTTGACCCCCTTTATACTAATTTCCTTTGGTATAGCCATGACCTAATCAACTTCAGGTCAGCATTCCCAATGATCCAAGCCCCTATCAATTTTGCGCCACTATCAAAATCTCTGCTGAAGTCAAGGTACACAAAATCACAAACCTTATCACTATTTCCACAACTATGCAACCTACTCCATGAACATTTAGTAATAAAACTATGCGATTCATGTATCTAGTCATGTTTCTCAAAAAGAATAGAGAAATGGCACTTGCAATGTTAGATTCTAGTAACTTTCCTCACAATAGACCAAGCTAATTGGTCACTAACTTAAGCGTTAAAGTTAACTCAAACTTTTCCTTTAAAACTTGCTATATTAGGAACTTTCCACGACCGGCCTTTACCCGACATAATTAAATAGGGTAAAAACGGTATATTAAATGCAGTAAAACTACGGTAAATTCAATATGATAAACTTGCATTCTTTAAGCATGGGCTGCATAGCAAGTGAACTAAACTAAATGTTAAGCACCCTGGCAAACCACTTCGTTCTATTCAATTTATTTAATCACTGTCCGGCTAGAATTTTTAGATTAGATTAAAGGAACACCCTCCCTGGTAACGGCTGAACTAGTTAACCAAATACAAATATTTAGGTAAAATACTTTCATAAAACCCGTCTACTTCCCCCACCAGTAGACTTTTTCATCTAAAGGCATAATGTAATGTTCCACTTTAGTAAATAAAGACTTAAAAAACACTACCCCATCTGTGTACTTACCGGTTACCTGACATTCTATGCGTAAAATAACCCATCTATTCCCCATAATTGTTCGATATAACTTGCCTCTCACCCGCTGGTCGAGTACACAGCAGTATATATCCTCCTCCATCACTCACCGCGTGGATACTATTTCACTCTGGCCGCAAATTGCCTCAAATCACCTACGTTGTCCATAAACATATATAGAAGAGCAACTGACCGTAACACCTGTATAGCGATCATCACATAACGTGGGAACATTAGTAGTACTGCTGTCAAAACATAGATGGCGCCAGGACAAACGGTAATTCCTATGGACTCGGATACAAGACACTCCGTACATTGACAACATCGCACACTAATATTTTTACCACTTCGGACACCAACTTTAGACGTTTCGCATATGTGTACGTGTTCCATATTAAAACGACAATATAATGCTATTAACAATTAAAATCTTCTATTTAACAGGCATATAGTTATTAAATGAAGTTTAGTGATGTAATAGACATAATCCGGAGTTGGTAAGGACGCCGCCCGCCAGCGTAAACACAACACACCCGAATGCCCACAAACACGATACAACGCACAAAACACAACACTTCTGTCAGTTTTTTGATAAACTCCTTTTATATTTATTATGTAATAGTTATACTTGCATAAAATGATAACTATTATAGGTAAGCGCCTAATATTTAATATTAATCAATAAAAAAGAAGTCAGAAGCCACACGCCTGTCTGTACATGTCTTTTGTGTAAAAGTATTTTGGGCGCTCATGTACTTGTGCGCTAGCTGGCGTTCACAACTGTTCTCGCCTACAAGCATTAGAATTAAACAAACGAATTTATTTTTTCATTTATATACAAGAAGAGAAGGCTACTCTTGAGTCTGTAATATTCATCTGATCACTGGTCTCCCATTTGGTCCTCATTGATTTATAAAATAAAAAAAAAAAAAAATGTTTATTTAGGTAAGGTACATACATACAATAATTTTTTTTTTTTTTTTGAGATATATACAAGAGTTCTTACATTCTTGTACAGCCACTAGTACGCGTAGCGTTTCGGGCAAGTCCTTAATCCTATGGTCCCTGGAATACGATCCCCTGCCGCGAAGAATCGTTTTTTCATCCAAGTACACATTTTACTGTTGCGTTAAACAGAGGCTACAGTTAAGGAATTGCGCCCAGTAAATCCTCCCCGGCCAGGATACGAACCCATGACATAGCGCTCGCGGAACGCCAGGCGAAAGATTTACAAAGATTGGTTGACTTATAGGTAGAGCTAGTACATACAATGCCTAAAGCCACTATTATGCAAAGCGTTTCGGGCATGATAAACTTAAATGACAAGCTTAATACTAATTGAGGATAATGAGTAGAATGAAAACAAGAAATGAAAACATAGATGAAAAAGCAGCACAAATACAATTATGTCGACAAACAGCGCTCTTTAAAAAAAAAAAAAAAAAAAAAAGGTTACATGGAATTTATTAGGTATAGCTTCGTTTTTATTTTTTTTATTTTTTTTTTTTTTGTCCCCTAACTCTCCTTGCCACTTCGGGGGGGTATAGGGTTTTTATGTAGCTTCGGAGCCCGATCCCCCCAGCCACAGGGCATGGCGAGACGGACCCCTAAGCATACCTAATACCCTAACACACACAAACTAAAATAAACATATATGGCAGATCTCATCACACCCACAAGAGTTAAGATGATACTAATAATACATAATAATAACCTGAAAATAAACAAAAACATTAATGGAAAATTCTTTTGTAGTTGGTTTTTTCTATATGGGACACAGCACACATAGGTAGGGGTGCACAGTATAACATTTAAAAAGAACAAACAAAGGCTGAAGGCCAAAGCAGCAGGCTGCCCAATCGGCAGGGATGATGATTTGACGTCGGCATACATGGAAAACTAGACACAGTGGATGCTCCTAACTAGGCCCCGGAGCGGGAGGGTTATCATGTATGTGCATGGGGTCCCTCCGGTCGCCGCCTTACCTACTCGTGGGCTCTGCCAGGTCATCCACCCTCTTGTGAGACGCCATTAGGAGAAGTGGTACTCCAGCTGACGAAACTGCTTAGATAGTTGGCTACCAGCTGACTTCGCTGCGGTTCACCTAAGCGTGACTATAGTTAGTCACTATATAGACTATATAGTTAGACTATAGTATAGAAGGTGACCATCTGGTATACGGACTTCGCGCTCCACCTCAAAGCCTCTTTGCCGCAATCGGCCAGCTACGAACCGGGTGATGTCGTCGTGACGTTTCACCCGAGCCCCGTGTGTCTTATGGCAGGCCTGGGATATATGGCCCAGGGTTCCTGGTTTCTGACAAGCGTCGCAGAGACCAGAAGCCTCGGGTCTACCCCTGGCCGCCCTAGACGGCGTGGCTACAGCGTTTGCCCTAATTTGGACGGCGTGGGCAAAATCTCCTCCGCTTAGCAAACGGGTGCCGGACGCAACCCACTTGTGACAGGATGGGACCTCACAAGAGGAAGCGAGGCCGGCGCCGTCGACCATGCTGTACAGTTTTGCCTTCCATCTTCTAGCGCACTCGGTCGTCCTGCTGGACGGCGTTCCAGCGGCCGTGGTCGGGTACCCATCGGTGCATTCTCGCTTGGAATGCGGGTAGGAGAGCCGCTGCCACCACCACTGGGTCCGCTGATCCAGTCAGCGCCCCGAGCCGCTTGTTCTTTTGTAGCCGGATCGATGTGGCAAAGTCGGGTATCCCTAGTCCACCGTCCTTGACGTCGGCGTGGATAAAGGCGTTAGGGGTGTCATGGGGCAGCCGCAGCCAGCCACGAGTGGCGTGTCGCAGCCGCCGGTCCAACCTCGCCAACTCCGTTTTAGCCACGTGAACTGGTTGAGAGAGGTACAGTCTTTAACATGGTTGGGAAGGTCATTTCACATTCTGGGCCCCTTGATTTGTAGAGCATTTCTAGTTTGATTAAGTCGTACTCTAGGAATATAAAAACTGTCTTACTTAAAACTTATCTTAACTTATCTTACTTAAAAACTTAATATCAAAACTTATCTTACTATTATTGAATGTCAATAACCGTATTATGCAATTTCAATTTCTTCTATTTCTTTCTTTATTATGCACCCCATACCCATCCCGTGGGCGGTGGTGTAAAGGATTACAGAGGCACATAATCGGTTCAGGAACTGAACCCTCTAGTTCGGTTAGCTAAGTAAGTAACAGTGTTTGACGCTAGTTACAAAATTATTAATGTTGTATACACACACACACACACACACACACACACACACACACACACATATATATATATATATATATATATATATATATATATATATGTCGTACCTAGTAGCCAGAACGCACTTCTCGGCCTACTATGCAAGGCCCGATTTGCCTAATAAGCCAAGTTTTCCAGAATTAATATATTTTCTCAATTTTTTTTCTGTTGAAATGATAAAGCTACCCATTTAATTATGTATGAGGTCATTTTTTTTTATTGGAGTTAAAATTAACGTAGATATATGACCGAACCTAACCAACTCTACCTAACCTATCTTTATAGGTTAGGTAGCCGAAAAAGTTAGGTTAGGTTAGGTTAGGTAGGTTAGGTAGTCGAAAAACAATTAATTCATGAAAACTTGGCTTATTAGGCAAATCGGGCCTTGCATAGCAGGCTGAGAAGTGCGTTCTGGCTACTAGGTACGACATATATATATATGCGAACAAGCCTGAATGGTCTCATATATATATATATATATATATATATATATATATATATATATATATATATATATATATATATATATATATATATATATATATATATATATATATATATATATATATATATATATATATATATATATATATATATATATATATATATATATATATATATATATATATATATATATATATATATATATATATATATATATATATATATATATATATATATATATATATATATATATATATATATATATAAAACTTCAGGCCTGGTCCGAACATATGGAATGTTTTTTTGTGAATTACCATGCATCGTCTCTCCTGTTTGCTTGCCAGAGTATTCTACAATACCTACAGACTCCAGCTCTTTAATAACAGTTACTCTTTTCTTAAAGCTTTCCTGCCCTTTGAGGACTGTGTAATAACGGTGCATTGTGATGAGAGTATCTGGGGAGGGCTGAGGTTCTAAGGGAACCCACTGCGTTTTCCCTTTTGATAATACTCTTTTACAAAATAACTCATTTCTCAAATATATTAGCCTCAAACGATTATTATTATCCCATATGAATAAGGAGTTCACGGTAGTACCTCTGGCACTGTTCCACACTCCACAGTCGTCTGGAAAGCTCGACCGTGTTTTGGTGCCCTTAGTAAGATTATGTGAATTGTCAACCACATAAAATGTATCTTCTTTAGGCCCATTTGGGACACTTTTAAACACCTTGCTGTTCTCTCGCAAATGCCAATAGACTTCTTCTACAGCTAAAAAATTTCCATTGCGAAGCTTGCCAGAGCTTTCGCTATCGTTATCAGTCGACAATTGAGTTTTTTTTTTTTTTAAAGTGTGTCTCCTTAAAGTCATACTGTATTTTGGACACAAAAGTAGTAAAATCCTTTCCGACTGGAGTTGATGTATACATAGGGGGTACAGATAATGGTGATTGACACAAACTTAGAGATGTGGATGTAATAGTGCTTAGTAACTGGGTACTGTTTATGGATATGTGACCCAGTGGAGGCAAGGACATTAATGGAACAAAATGGTTAGGTGTCCATGATTTATCCCCTTCCTTGAGATTGCCGCTCCACATAATATAAATGGGATCCTGCCTGTATCCCTCACACCGAGGGATAATTTTGGTATTGAGAATACCTATACATTTGTCAAGCATGCCGTTGACAGACGGATATACAGATATTATTTCTCTGTTTACAACAGAACTTGCTGCATACATTGTCATAACTGATGAATCTTTTCCAGGGATGGCAGAATAGAGACAAACTTCATTGAAATCAGGAGACACCAGGTTTAAATCCTGGTGTCCATTAAATATTTAATGGAAATTAGTGGTGTTTGAGCAAGCTAATCAACGTCAAAAATGTTTACGTTGTTGTTCTTCATCTGTAGTACTGAGCTCTACACATAAGGGTAGCTTTGCCGCAGGCTGTTTACTGCTCTGAGAAATAAACATAAATCCACATGCCTGGAGCCCGCGGTGCCCGGCGCCTTGCTGTGGGAAGTCAGAGATGTTTATGATTCTGGTCTAGGAATACCGTGGGATTTCACCAAAATGTGTTGTATACAATGAAATGATTATACATTGCTCTGTTGTGAACATTGTATACAGTACCTCAAGATATAAATCCCACACCACTTAACTAGCTCCCAGATACCTAATTAATTCCGGCACATAATACCTAAAATTCATTTAGGTAAGCACGTTACAGTCTTGATAAGCTAGTTACAAAATGTAATGTATATTGTTACATTACATACAGCCCTGTGCTGTAGATGCCCCTAACCCAATGAGAACAACAACAGCGTCAGCTGAGATCTCGAGGCATCGTGAGGGGAAGCAGTGAGTTTGATAGTGTGAGAGACACCTACGAGTGTGAGAGACTCCTACGAGAGTGAGAGAAGCCTGCGTGTAGGTTTAGGGAGAAGAGTGAGGTAGAGAACCATGGCAAACAGCGGGGAGGACCAACCACTACCACCCGAGATCATCCGTCTGGTTAGTACTGGCGATGTCCAAGGGATCCGGAACTTACTACTGACGGGGGAGGCGAAGGTGGACGACACGGACTCCAGCGGCATGACCCCGCTACATCACGCCGCCTACAAGGGCAACTCAGAGCTCTGCAAGATGTTAATAGCACACGTGAGTATGGCTCCTTCCATCTCACTCCGCCCTCTTGTCTAACACATTAGGGTCCCGGTAGTATAGTCGGGTTCGTTCTCAATGCACAATCGAGAATTCCGGGCGGGACAGAAATGGTTGGGAACATTTCCTTTCACCTAATACATCTGTTCACCTAGCAGTGAGTAGGTACCGAAGAGTTAGTCAGCTTGTACCGAAGAGTTAGTCAGCTTGTTCCGAAGAGTTAGTCAGAATTAGTACCGAAGAGTTAGTCAGCCGCGGGATTGCATCCTGGGCGAGGTCAGTAATTTCATCTTGGAGGGGGGATGGAACCTCGATATAAGCCTAACGTATGAATACAGTTTGGCTGCCTGTCCCCCAATACAATGAATAATTATTAATTATTATTATTCCTTGTCAGGGTTTGACAATTTCTTTAGTTGAATTTCCTGTATAGTATTCTTTCTGAGCATGTTCTTTATAAAGTCTGGCTCGGACACTATCGAGTTAGGTTACATTATGATTTGTACCCTACGTTAGATTTGGTAGATAATTTTTTGTTTAGCTAAATGAAACTGTAGAAGGCCTATAGGTCCATATAAGGCATACAGTATATATATTTTATATATTTTTGGATCCCATATATATATATATGCATGCAACAATGATCACAAAAACACTGATCCAAGTATGCGGAAAAACCACATTTGAAAAATAGAAAATGCTTAATGCATTTTCGGCTAATTCGCCTTCATCAGAGCAAAGTAAAATAAATGCATTCATTCATTCTACTTTGCTCTGATGAAGGCGAATTAGCTGAAAACGCATTAAGCATTTTCTATTTTTCAAATGTGTGTTTTCTGCATATATATGACTGTTAAATAAACATACATATTTATGTATGTGTATATATATATGTGTGTAAATGTATAAATGTATGTCTCATTGAATATGACTGCACATTTCGTGTTGATTATTTTCTTGTTTAAGGCTTAATCCCTCTGATTATTGCTCTTGCATCTTGGTTTAATTGAAAGAGGATTTCTCTAAGTTTCATATTTGTTCAAGGTTGACTAAAAGATTAAAAATTAAATGTAGAATGTGTTATATTGTACTTTATTATTTACACAATGTTTCGAACCTACAAGGTTCATTGTCAAGTTAGGAGACAGGATTGATTGATGAAAATTCCGCCAACCAAGAGGTGGCATGGGCATGAATAGCCCGTAAAGGAGACAGTAATTATTATTTTTTAAGATTTAGCTACTCAGAAAGGAATTTCCATGTAGCATGGGCTATAGTGAGCCTGTAAGAGACAGGAGGGAACATATCTGATCTTAATATGTTATTGAAGATGCTGCTAAGATTTCTAATGAAAGGAACATTCAAACTCAATTTAATTTTATCTGTATTTCTATTCCTAGGGAGCAGATGTAAATGCTGACAGCCACGACCATCGCTATTATGCACTACATTTTGCTGCACTTTCTGGAAACATAGAGACTGTGCAACAGTTGTTGACAGCTGGAGCAAAGACGTATCATACCAATACGCTGGGTAGAACTGCCACACAAATGGCAGCATTTGTGGGAAACCATGCAGTAGTAGCACTCATAAACAATTACTTACCTATGAGTGATGTGATGCAATATACTGTACCTACTGGGCTTGAAAAAGAAGCAAAGCTACCCGTTTCAGTTGCTAAGCCTCTCTATGATCTTATTATGCAGGTGAGATACTGTTACTGTTTCAAATTTCAATATTACATTCAGAGACAAAATACCAGGCCTCTTTATGAATATAAACTTGGTATATATAAGTTATTTGGAGACCAAAATGGCATAACTTAGTGGCTATTTGATCTTAATCCTGTGTCAATATCAATAAATTTTTTGTGCAAGTTAAATGTTAATGAAGCATTACAACTCCATATCTCCCTATTCTCTTGTGAGATTTGTATTTTTCTTCATTTAATTTTGTATATTTCCTAATCAGGTACTCTATTTTCACACTCGTGCACACATACACACACATACACATAGAGGTGGTTATGAGAGGATGTCTGCGAGTGAGGGAGTATCTGCTGATTTTTGGTTTCATATTCTTAGGTAAATCTTCACCCAGTACGGATTGCCTTCTTTGTGGAAAATTCGGAAGAGCTTCAGAATAACATCACAAGTGCCTGGAAAGTTTTGGAAATCATGTGTGAGAAGGAGAGCAAACGGCCAGCGAATATTAATGAGGTAAGAGTTACAAATGGGTCTTATTCATTAGTGTACAGTAAATGTAGTTGACCAGCTAGCTGGAGTGAGCAGAATAAATATCTGTTGCATGAAGGAGTAGCTTTATATATTTTATAATATATATATATATATATATATATATATATATATATATATATATATATATATATATATATATATATATATATATATATATGTCGTACCTAGTAGCCACAACGCACTTCTCAGCCTACTATGCAAGGCCAGATTTGCCTAATAAGCCAAGTTTTCCTGAATTAATATATTTTCTCTAGTTTTTTTCTTATGAAATGATAAAGCTACCCATTTCATTATGTATGAGGTCAATATTTTTTTATTGGAGTTAATATTAATGTAGATATATGACCGAACCTAACCAACCCTACCTAACCTAACCTAACCTATCTTTATAAGTTAGGTTAGGTTAGGTAGCAGAAAAAGTTAGGTTAGGTAGTCGAAAAACAATTAATTCATGAAAATGCGTTCTGGCTACTAGGTACGACATATATATATATATATATATATATATATAATGTCGTACCTAGTAGCCAGAACGCACTTCTCAGCCTACTATGCAAGGCCCGATTTGCCTAATAAGCCAAGTTTTCATGAATTATATATTTTTCGTCTACCTAACTTTTTCGGCTACCTAACCTAACCTAACCTATAAAGATAGGTTAGGTTAGGTTAGGTAGGGTTGGTTAGGTTCGGTCATATATCTACGTTAATTTTAACTAAAATAAAAAAAAATTGACCTCATACATAATGAAATGGGTAGCTTTATCATTTCAAAAGAAAAAAAATTGAGAAAATATATTAATTCAGGAAAACTTGGCTTATTAGGCAAATCAGGCCTTGCATAGTAGGCTGAGAAGTGCGTTCTGGCTACTAGGTACGACATATATATATATATATATATATATATATATATATATGCGAACAAGCCTGAATGGTCCCCAGGACAATATGCAACTGAAAACTCATGCTATGCCCAAGATTACTATCCGAGTGCCGGCGGTGGGGTGGTTCAAATAGCTTCGGCTATCACCTCATTATGTCCGGTCGTGATGGTCAAGTGGATTAAGGCGTCTTGTACATACCAGTTGCGTTGCTCCTGGGAGTATGGGTTCGAGTCACTTCTGGGGTGTGAGTTTTCAGTTGCATATTGTCCTGGGGACCATTCAGGCTTGTTCGCATTTGTGTTCCTCACGTGTGCCCCAAAGAATGAGGTGATTTGGTAAAATGCTATGCCCAAGATTACTATCCGAGTGCCGGCGGTGGGGTGGTTCAAATAGCTTCGGCTATCACCTCATTATGTCCGGTCGTGATGGTCAAGTGGATTAAGGCGTCTTGTACATACCAGTTGCGTTGCTCCTGGGAGTATGGGTTCGAGTCACTTCTGGGGTGTGAGTTTTCAGTTGCATATTGTCCTGGGGACCATTCAGGCTTGTTCGCATTTGTGTTCCTCACGTGTGCCCCAAAGAATGAGGTGATTTGGTAAAATGCTATGCCCAAGATTACTATCCGAGTGCCGGCGGTGGGGTGGTTCAAATAGCTTCGGCTATCACCTCATTATGTCCGGTCGTGATGGTCAAGTGGATTAAGGCGTCTTGTACATACCAGTTGCGTTGCTCCTGGGAGTATGGGTTCGAGTCACTTCTGGGGTGTGAGTTTTCAGTTGCATATTGTCCTGGGGACCATTCAGGCTTGTTCGCATTTGTGTTCCTCACGTGTGCCCCAAAGAATGAGGTGATTTGGTAAAATGCTATGCCCAAGATTACTATCCGAGTGCCGGCGGTGGGGTGGTTCAAATAGCTTCGGCTATCACCTCATTATGTCCGGTCGTGATGGTCAAGTGGATTAAGGCGTCTTGTACATACCAGTGGCGTTGCTCCTGGGAGTATGGGTTCGAGTCACTTCTGGGGTGTGAGTTTTCAGTTATATATATATATATATATATATTGAATTAATTTATTATTATTATTATTTATTTATTTATTTATTTTTTTCATATTATAGCTTGCATCTTTGAAGTACCCCAAGTAGCTTCAGCCAGGTTGTTTCCAGCTGTTTTGTTTACAAGCTGTTCTAGTTTTTTGTTGGTTGAATTATGTCTGCATTGCCATTCTTCTGGTGCTTCTTTTACTTTGTGGTTGAGTGTGTAGTGTTGCACATTTCTCCCTTGAGACTCGCAGGCAAAAGAACTTTAGCATCTTCCTTGAGGACCTAACTCACACTGTGTCCATAGAGAGTGGTTAAGTAGGGTGGGGACCTTATGTCCTTTTGTGGAAGGTTATCACAACCTCTTGGGATAATTGTTCCCTCACCCACTGTATAATCTGCAAATCTCATCATCAGTACAGCTTGTACAATTACCAAACAGGGAGTCTATGATATCTTGAGATATATCTTGAGATGATTTCGGGGCTTAGCGTCCCCATTGCCTAGTCCTTGACCAGGCCTCGTTTTTGTTACACACACCCCCGGAAGCAGCCCGTAACAGCTGTCTAACTCCTAGGTACCTATTTACTGCTAGGTAACAGAGGCATCAGGGTGGAAGAAATTCTGCCCATTTGTTTCCGACTCCACCGAAGATCGAACCCAGAACCTCAGGACTACGAATCCGAAGCGCTGTCCACTCGGCTGTCAGACCCCTATACCACCAAGGATACCTCAAAACTCTCTACAACTCACTAAGGCACTCAGCGCAGGCAGTACATTAGCAGTGGTACTCTTGGCTCAACCAATTTCTCTGGAACCAAGGCACATTTTCAGGTGTTGATATACAGTCTCATGACATATGCTGAAATTTAATCATGGCCTAACCATGACATTTGTGGGACACAACTGTCCCACAGTGTGTCACTATCAATTAATGAAACTTTGCTTCTGTATGGTTCCATAATAATGAAGGACAGGGATGAGAAGAAATGGAAATACTGTACAGTATTCATAAAATGGCATTTATTAAAAGAGTAAATGCATATAAAAGTTACTGTGGTAGCCTCACTGATTGAAATTAAACAAACCTTATGGGTCTGCAAGAAAAATGACAGGTTGTATAACAAGAACTTTTCACACTAGAGATGCTATACCGATGATGATACTTTTCAAAACGCTAGTGCTCTCTAGAGTGGAGTACTGCTGCACAATGACAGCCCCTTTCAAAGCTGGAGAAATTGCTGACCTGGAGAGCGTGCAGAGATCCTTTACTGCTAGAATCCACTCAGTAAAACATCTAAATTACTGGGACCGACTAAAGAGCCTAAATCTGTATTCCCTTGAGCGCAGGCGGGAGAGAGACATAATAATTTACACGTGGAAAATAATTGAGGGGCTGGTCCCAAACCTGCACACAGAAATAACGTCACATGAGACCAGAAGACATGGCAGGATGTGCAGAATACCCCCGTTGAAAAGCAGAGGTGCAACAGGTACTCTGAGAGAGAACTCTATCAACATCCAGAGGCGCGAGACTGTTCAACAGCGTTGATCCAAACCGAGTCAGGCAGACAAGTTTATAAGGCCTCCTGATCACAGCATCAAAGTGTTCTCACAACAGAGCAGCTAGCAGCAACAGCACCTCTTACCGGCTCTTACTTACCATTTCACCAAATGAACTTGGCAACAACTATGATCTGTGATCAGCCTTGGTACCCACCTTCTCACTAGATGGACTGAGCTATACCCACCAGCCTTGGTACCCACTGTTTCACCAGATGGACACCATCGCAGCCACCAGCTGGAATCAGACTCTGCTGCCACCAGCACTCAACAGCCTCACCTTACAGCTCAACATCATGACACCATAATACCATACACAGGGAAAATTGTTTAAACCAGATTGTGCCATGGACTATAATATAAATATGATATTGGTAGATCATGTGGCATAATAGTTGGTGCAGTCAAGTGTATTAAAAAATGTGTAAAGTGGACCAAGAAATTTTTCTTCACCATGTGGAAGTACAATATCAGTACTAAATTGTTACAACATGTACTGGTATTTGATGAAATCTGGCAAGGAACCAGCAATCAGTAATGTCGCAATTGCAGATTGTTTTGCTCTTCTGTCATAATTACTCCTGAAGTTTGGCCTGGAAGTTAGTGTTGTGACAAGAGTTTTCACGCCAACAATGCCTCATACTGTTCTCAACAGACTGGCATGCAAAGATGACCTTGCACTACACAAGATTGCTTTCATACCAAGTATGTACAGAAAACTTGCAAAAGGTGCAGGCACGCAGAACGAAGAGATAGGAAGTCAAAATCTGTGTGCACCTGGTGTATTGAATGCACAGTTGTCTTGAGTTTCAGTGATTAAAACACACTTGTGAAGTATTGAGAGTGTAATATAGTGTGTGACAATTTACATCATGTATATAAATTGAATATTGTGACAATAAAATTTTTGAGTGACAAATGTATCATAGTTCCTTGAAACATTATGAACATTCTACTCTGTAAATATGGTCAATTACATGGATCCACATAAGATAAGCAAAAAAAAATAAGTAAGATAACAATAAAAATGCATTAAAAAGGACACAAGTATATTTGTGGTAACTTCCAAGTGTTGAATCACCCACACAACTAAGTCAGAGAGTCTCCTGCATGGGTGAACACCCGGCTGTGATGTCATTGCTTGTCTTTCCCACTTCACTGCAGCAGTGCTTGTTCTTATTACTTCTTATATTTGTGTCCAAGGAAGAGATTTTAACAAAGAATGCTAATGTGGAGCTTTCAAAGTCACAGAGAAATTAGTCAAGAGATATATATAGTTATCTTAGAGTGTAATTGAAATAGTACATGATTTTACACAAATATTTTTCACCAAAACTGTTCAAACCCTTCCCACTCTTGCCTATGTGGGGAAAAATAAAAGTAAAGCTTTCACTTTTTTTTTATAACTGTAGTGTTTAAGATGCTTTCTTGTGTGTGTATTTTGGACATACAGTATTAGGAGAGTTAACTAGAGTTCCAACTATAAAATAAAGTTGTCAAATATTTAATGTTTATTAATTTAGATGTACTGTACAGTAATGCATTATTGAGCCTTAAATTTTGGAAATTATATAAAACATTACCAAACAGGTGCAGTATATGGAAAACTGTAGGACTGTGTGTGTAAATAATACAGAATTATTTTGTTGCAGGTTATTTGCATGAAGTTTCATTATCTGGCATTTGTTTTAAAGACTTTAGAAAAGGAACTTGGAAAACTGGAGCCTATGTTGAAACAAGAAAAATCAGTAAAGGACAATTCAATATTTGAAAGCATCATCAGAAAATGGCTAAGGGGACGTCAAATGGATGGATTTGAGGAACATCTGGAGTATTACATTAGAGATGCAATAAAGTCCTTCCCATTCGTTGAAATGCCATTATTTATGCAATTGGCTAGAAATATAACCGGAGGCAACATTGGAGATTCATCTGCTCTCTGTATACTTAGTGGGTGTATAAATGGACAACGAGCTTTCAATGATGATAAAGCCTGTTCAACATGTGGTCAAGAAGTTAAAAACTTAAAAAAGTGTTCAAACTGCAAGATGACACAATACTGCAACCGTTGTTGCCAGAAGCTTCATTGGCCAATTCACAAAAAGTTCTGTGAAAAACTTAAGGCAGAATATAAAAAGCAAGAAAAACTGGAACAAGAAAAAGAAGAGAGAGAGAATGTGGAGAAAAAAGAGGATATGGAGCTGAAAATGAAAGATCTAATTAAAAGTCAGGATGAACAACTTGCAAGTCAAGCAAAAGAGGTAGTAATTACTTAAATTTTTTGCACTGTATTCTATGAGATCATATTGACGTTATGTTTAATAAATGATGTTGATGTGATCGCACTGAAGCACTAAATGAAACTTGTTCTTAGAGAAGTTGTCTTATATTGGGATAACTCTTCTGCTGCACCATTTATTTATCTTCAAGCTACTTCCCATATGTGACTTTTAAAAAATTCTATGAATAATTCAAGCTTATGCAGTTTCCTTCATAAGTATTAGTACTGTATTAGATAAAACTATGGTGATTTTTAAATTACAAAACTCTAGGTGCCAAAGTTTGGCTGTGATAGGCCCAAACAGATGGATTTAATCTCAAAGTACCCTGAAAAAAATGTTACAATGACATACAAAATTCTAGTTATAATAATATGGGTGTAGTGGATGAAAATGAGGTGTGCCCGCATTGAAACAAAAACAAAATAACAGTTCTAATCAACAAAAATTCTAGTTATAATAAAAAAAAATCAAAAATCCTAAAATTCAAGTTTTACAAATACTGTACACATTGACACTTTTGCTCGTCGGCGTACAGTCTGCATTCATTATTGTATCATCACTAATTGCGTCCAAAATTTTTCTCACGGACGTACGCCGGGAGCGCAGGTTTCATCCCAAATTAAAATAGTTGTTAAAATTCTCATTTTTATCTGATCATTCTGGGACTGGTTTTAAAATGAGCATCTTTAGATTGTGCACAATTTGATACCATAATGAACGATGTAGCGCAACAATTGAGGTCAGAACACTGGAAAGATTATGAATACTTTTGTGGTGATGAGTGTCAAAAATTAAAATATTTGTTAAAATTCCATTTATTGTTTAATTATTATGGGACCAGTTTTAAAATGCGTACCTTTAGATTGTGAACAATTTGATACCAAAATGAGCGACGTAGATCGAAAATTGATGTTAGAACACTGGAAAGATTATAAATACAGTACTTGTAGTGATGAGCGTCCAAAATTGAAATGTTTGTTAAAATTCCATTTATTGTTCGATTATTATGGGACTAGTTTTAAAATGTGTGCCTTCATTATGGTATCAAATTGCAAACAATTTGATACCATAATGAACAATGTAGCACGGCAATTGAGGTAAGAACACTGGAATGATTATAAATACTGTACAGTGTCACCTCAACTTACGACTGCCCCTATTTACGAATTTTTTGAGATACAACCCCAATTTCGTAAAAAAATGTGACTTGACTTACGACCTTTGCCTCGACTAGTGACTTTGTAGATACACATATGGGTCGACCGAGTGCTTGCTTAGTGACGAGCACGCTTGTAAAGAATTTAATTGGTTTTGTGCTTTTTTGTTTTTGTTTTTTGAACATAAAAGTAAATATTATATATCATGCCATAGGTTCCAAGAAAATCAGTGGTAAGGTTCAACCTAAGAAAATAGTCAGTAGTAGAGGCAGTAGATAATGTCCCTTCCTCATTAAGAAAATGTGTGAAGTATGGGAAGAATTGCAAAGTTTTGTTAAAAAACTCACCCAGATAAAGCTGTAGCAGGCTGTTGCATTGACCTTGTAAATGACAATGTGATGTCTAACTACACTGACAAGTGTTAAAATGTGAATGCAATGAAAGAATTATTCTATAGCACTTTCTGGCTGCTTGGTATTACTGTAGTAAATAAGACTACACTATAACAGGGAAGAATATGAAAATAGTGCAAGACACAAGTGTTGGTGCCAGAGTGAAGAGAAATACCTATACTGTCCTTTGATGTGATTGTCTTTCCCTCTTCAAGTTCATTGTGATTGCTAGGTAATTTGACATCCTAAAAAGGAAGTTGTACAATGAAGGCATAATAGATACAGACAATGTCTCTAGCATGTATGTCATCGCCAATTTTGACTTCAGATTGCAAACTAAAGAAGTTGAAGTTTGTAGACAATTAATAAATAATAAAAAATTACGGGATAAATGTAATGGATATGGAAGTGTAACATTACTTTTGCAAGATTATCATTTTATTGCACGGTAATAATTACCTAAGTGTAGTTACAGGATGAGAGCTACGCTCGTGGTGTCCCGTCTTCCTAACACACTTTGTCATATAACGGTGTATTAATAGTAGTGCTGTATTACAGAAAATGTATGCTAGAGAGATATACTGTAAAGTATTTGTAATGTTTAACACTGATTTGTTTATTTACTGGTTCTCTGATGGCTGCTGTTCATTAAATAATTTTTAATTATTAAAATATAAATACACATCTTTTAAATCATTATCAGGCAATATAATATGTTTGCAATTGTTTACTTTATCTGAAATTAGCTATAAATGTAAATACAAATGTACAAGTTGTTTAATAATCCACTGTTACCTTGAAGTTACCTTGAGGTGCTTCCGGGGCTTAGCGTCCCCGCAGCCCGGTCGTCGACCAGACCTCCTGGTTGCTGGACTGGTCAACCAGGCTGTTGGATGCGGCTGCTTGCAACCTGACATACGAATCACAGCCTGGTTGATCAGGTATCCTTTGGAGATGTTTATCCAGTTCTCTTTTGAATACTGTGAGGGGTCGGCCAGTTATGCTCCTTATGTGTAGTGGAAGCGTGTTGAACAGTCTCGGGCCTCTGATGTTAATAGAGTTCTCTCTCAGGATATCTGTTGCACCTCTGCTTTTCAACGGGGGTATTTTGCACATCCTGCCATGCCTCCTGGTCTCATGTGATGTTATTTCTGTGTGCAGGTTTGGGACCAGCCCCTCAATTATTTTCCACGTGTAAATTATTATGTATCTCCTGCCTGCGCAGATTTAGGCTCTTTAGTCGGTCCCAGTTTAGTTTAAATGATTACACAGAATTTTTCTTTAGAACACCTTTTAAATTTGGGAATGAAGTCATTATACTGTAAGTTAGACTAAGTTCGCCTTACAGTTTATTGCAGTTAACAAAATAATGAGGAAGATGGATAACAGATAGATGGAGCTGTATTAAAGTCAATTTTTGTACAGTTCCAAAGAGACAGGGATGGCAGCAAACTCCCCCAGTGAAAACAATGAAGCATGGGAACAGTCCGAATGAAGAATTTGGACTACACGCTTTTCACTTCTTCTAACTGACTCTACTCTTCTATCCTGGGTACCCACTGCCTAGGATAGAAAAGCAGAGTCAGCAGGAAATGCTTTAAAGGAAGGAGGGACTGGCTGATGGAAGACCCAATAGCCTCGGCGGGACAAGCAAGCTTCACTGCCTCCACTCCCAAATCGGAAAGAGCAAACCCCAGAGCCCCCCCCCCCCTCCCCCCGAGCCAAATCCTGCCCTGACCTGGAAACCTTCAGACATCCATGGGCCAGAAGCAGGGGGGAAAGGAACAGAGGAGCAAACCACTCCCAACAAGGAAGGAAGGTGCAGATGGAACCAAGGTAGAAATTACCAAACGCCTCTAATTCTGGGACCCTAACAACCAACTGGGCATGCAACCCAAAAACCAACACACAAAAAGAGTTGCCACCTGGTAAGCTATAACCTCAGCAGGAGGGGCCCCAAGAGTCATATGGAAAAGTAAACCCCCACAGGACTCTGGGTCAAAGGTGTCACCAACCCAACAAGCAGCACAGCAGAGGCAGATGGACCGAATGTCATCACACGGCACAGACGATGAAGAACCCTCAAACTCGCTCAAAGTGAGAGCAGGGTCAGTGTGGATACTCATAGGACCATCAATCTGTAGGGGATTTCCAGGGCCTTAACGGGGAAGGTACCCAACAGGACAACCAGGCATTGGGACATTATGCCAATGATAACTTTCAAATAAGCTGACAGCCTGGAGCATGTGGGTGTGAAGGCTGACCCTGGCACACTGTTATGCAGCACACTAATAACTGGTGCACCCTGCCAGCCAGTTGAGCTGGGAGTGATGAGCGAGGACAGGCAATGGGAGTGATGAGTGAGGACAGGCAATGGGAGTGAATGAGTGAGGACAGGCAATGTCTCAACTCTCAGACACCCGAGGAAAGATAACCCTGGCAATGGAAGGGTAGCACTAGGGAGCACACAGGGAACATAACCCTGTACACATGCAGTTCCAAGTACAGTACTGTCAACTCCTGGCTTGTGCTACACTTCGGAGTATTGGAACTCAATGGCAAAAACTACCAATTGCCCGAGAAACAGAACATCGGAAGCAAAGCAGAAGAGAACCTGGCACACACTACATAAGCATAGAAATGAGGGTGGAGACACTGGCTGACCACAAGCTGCCTGCCCTATTCCCTCAAGCAGATGGGTGAACGAGCTTGCACTAGTTCCAAGAGTTTTTTTTTTATTGTTTACATGGGGGTGGGGGCAAAGTTTTTTCGAGTGGTTTGCTTTAACTTGCCGACTTTGATTATTTATGCCACCACTGGAGAAGGCAAATGTCACCACTCCCTGCACATTTGTGAGGGGCAGGCCAGGGTCTGGTGCTGGTCCCTGGTAGGCCAATTGAACTCCATGACTTGTGCGTCCTAGGAGATGGTCCAACTTCAGTATTTAGGAGGGGGGTCTCAGTGAGATCAGTCCCCTCATATCTGGTTTGCATTGTTGGTCCAATGTCATTCAACCGTTTCTTGTATAAAAGTTATCACAGTTCTGGGATGATTGTTGAACTAGCTTAGTAGCAAATATGTCCTCCTTAAGGCAAGGTCTCCAGGCTTGGATAGTTGTTCAGATGGAAGCACACAAGAGGGTTCATAAAACTGAATTACCACTTTCTTTTTCTGAAGTTAAGGGTTTATTTGATTGTTCCCAGTGAATTTTTTAAGCAACAAAATCTTAAGAATAATCTAATGCACAGTTGACTTCAAGAACTAGGTCCCAAGTGCTCATGCACATGTTTTACAAGTCAATACTATACTGCCAATATTTTTTATAGCTATGTGAAGACTGATAGTGTATGAAAAGCAATAATTTCAAAGAAAATGTAGGAAAATCAAACGGCATTGAATACATGGCCACTTTATATCACATATACAAAATATGTAAATGGTTGTAATTAACTTTGGTTTTCTCCTAACACTGAATTTCCTTATTAATTATATTCGATAGAAATCACAGATTCTTGAAAGACGGTTACTTTTAAATAATCATTTGAAAACGAGGAGTGATAAATATGCCCTCATAAAGCAATAAACAAACTGATACCAGAATTTAACAAACCTGCTAACACTTGACACTACAAACATGCTTCTGATTTTTGTATAAATACTTGCTAATAAATTACTGAATATAACAATCTACAGTACTGCATTATGTCTCCAATGCAACGTACAGGATATGCTTATAAGAAATCTTGCAATGTACTGTAGACAAGAGACTAACTCAAAGTGGTTATGTATATACTGAAACAACGTATATTACCAACGACACCAGCAGCTAACATACTGAAACTTTTGTTCTTGAGCACTAGTGTGGAATAGAATGTAAACTGTGATAGCACAAACATTTTAAAAGACCACTAAAAAAAAACCTTACTGGAAAATATTCTGTAATTGTAATTTTAAGCATTTTATTAAAAATCCTACTATAAGATCGACAGTGACATAATATTGTTCACTGTATTTTGATGCACTGGAAAACATGAATTAGCTGAGCTACTGTAATAAGCAGCAAATATTCAAATAAATAAATCGTGAATTATTAGAGGTATGGAGTAATTTCCACTCCGTAGTATTAGTGCAAAGTTATTACTAGGAGCCAGGCTTGGAAGACTATTTAGCACCATGTCACAGAAAATCAAAATACAGTATTTTTTGATATCATTAAGGATACCAGTATCAGATTCATTTTTATCAAGGAACATATGACCCAAGCAAACATTAGAAAAACAAGATTTCCGATAATCTTGAAAATCAGCACGTTCTACTAGATGTGCAACCATTAGTGAGTAATTCTTACAAAGTTTAGGTATTTGTAAGAATTACATTTTGGCCTTTTCCAGGTCAAAAAGGATGGCAACAATGGAGGTCTTTGCGGGAAAAGCAGACCGAATGTAGACCTCAATGGTGAAACAAATTGTGCTGCGACACTTGCAAAATACAAATTGAGAAGGCGAGTGGTGGTGACAGTGCTCTACGAACCAGCATGAAAAGTAACCCTTTGAGCACATAAAATTGCATAAAGCCCTACCATTAAAATACTCGTCTCTGGGGAAAGGTGACACTATGATTGATCAGGAAAAAAATGGCAAAGAACCAGCACAGAAAATGGAGCTATAATGTTGAAGAAAAAGACATTTCAGGACAAGAATATGCATATTAGCCTTCAGTATACAGGTTAGGGCTTCACAAAATTTAACAAATGGAACCCCCTCTATGAAGTGACATTATATTTGTGGAGACCCCTCTATGAAGTGACATTATATTTGTGGAGAGAGAGAATCCAGCAAGTGGGTAATCTGTACAGAGAAAAAAAAAAAATTGCAAAGGAGAGCAAGTAGGGCTATCATTATAGTACATCAGTCAGAGCACAGCCTCCCATTCACACACACAGTACAAGTGTGAAAGGAGTCTTGGTAGGGTCTCTGAAGTAGCAAAGGCAATACCAATCTCAGCAAGTCATGTAACAGAATATTGGTTCCGACATATGGGCTCTGGGTTGGTTGAACTAAAGACTCAATTAACTGTCAAAATTGGAAGACTAGTATTTCTCCCAGGCTGTATGCCTACAGCAAACAGCCCAAATCATTGTGAATTTCACTATAAAACATTTCCGCTTGAAGCAGGAGGCATAATACGAAATGGTGCAGTGGGTGGAGTCAAGTAAACTGAAAGAAGGGTGTGCAGGACTGGGAGATGGGACATGTATGGAAGAAAGGGGAAGGTATTAAAGATTCAAGTCTTAAAACACCACCAGAGAAATTAAGAGATCTAGCTACAAAAAAATACAAAAGGTCACTTATGTAGGTCAAGGACTTGTCAAGCCAAGTCTGGATAAGGGAAGTACAGTACTGTAGTTTGGAGAATGATCAAAACAAGAAGAGTAAGGGGAGTCGAGAAGAGTTAGCTCACTTATATTTAAAAGGGACAAAGCTAAAGAAAAAATACAGTTATGAAAAGACGGCTTCTGTTATGAGATAAAATCGCCCAATTGAGTATAAGGAGCAAGGGTCGAGGTAAGGATTTTCAATAAAGTAAATTGGAAGGATAAATAGAACGGTTACCATTTTTTTTTAGGAAGAGGGGCAATGAAATGGACGTTCAACAAACGTAAGGGGATGAAATGAAGCGACATTCTTTAAAAGAACAATAGTACTAGGATGACCATTAATAGGGCAAGATGACTTAAAAACAGTATAACCCTGGAAGAGACCAGGATAAACATCAGTTTTTAGCAAGACAGAACTGAGAAAACCGAGATTAAAAGCTGAAGCTCTGAAAATATACTGTATAAGCAATGTACAGTATATTCCATTTAAAGATACATACTGGTATTAAGACAAATTTTAAGAGATAAAAAGCAGAAAGTATAGAAACGAGCAAGAAAACCTAGAGGTAATTTGGATCGAGATCTTAAATCTGGGTAGTAAAGGCCAAGTAAGAAAAAACAGCACAGGACAGACAAGAAAAAAAAAAAAAGAGCCTGAATAGACTGCAGTGGGTTAGAAGTGGGAGGCTCTGTTGATATCTGAAGCAAAAACATCAAAACTATTTCAGAGCTAGGGACTGGCCAAATTGGTCGAGGGCCTAGGTGTCAACAGATACCATGCCCCAGAAAAGGGAATGTCGTCTTTGTGCTCGAGTTGCAGAATTGACTGCTCCATTCTACAGTGAGCAATGGCCCACAAAAACACATGGTGTTCACCACCACAATTAATACAGCAAACTGGTAGGGTTAACTTGTGCAAGCATTCCTAACATACAGGACTTGCTACAAAGTGGGCAAAAGAGCAAAGCACTTCTGCAATATATAAAATGAGGTAGTTCTTTATTTTCACATTAAATGTAATACTAATAATGAACATGTATATAGTATTACAACACATCAGGGTATTATATAGAGGATAAAATCTTCAAAACTCAGGTATTACAGAAAAATAAAAGCTTTCACTTGCAAACATTTTGTCTATTGACTCCACGTTAAAGAGCAAGGACGATACACCAGTACCATGAAGTGAGAAACAAAAACACATCCTACAACAAATGCTTTTGTGCTAAGGTACATTAATTTGGGAAGCACTATTTGGGAGACTAACAAAACATGGGATAGAGTGACAAAAGACTGAATAAAAACAAGTGGCACATATAGAAGCTAGTAGAAGAAAGGAGAAATAATCATGTGGGTAAATTAATGATTATTGAGATGACAAGTAATCATTATTAGTTTATACCTTCAAGTGCAAGACAGCAGCCGCTTCATTCATGCATAGCCTACCATAAACAAATGTACAAATATGGTGTTGCTGGTGCTATTAATTTTACTATCTGGGGATTATCTTCCTTCAATTTGTACCTCTTCCAGATAAAAACTGTTTTAATGCTACAAAGAAGAAAACTTTAAAGCTTAAAATATTGAGTCTTCAGGGAACTACAGTACATAAAACAAGGTTAAGGTGATTATGTACGTTGAGAGAATAGCATACTGGTCTCGGTTTTCAAATAAAACATTTAAATAAATTGTATTATCTAATTAAATAATTCAAATACATAATAATTACAATGTATTTAAATTCATGTTGGGAAAGTATGTATAGTAGAACAAATTTAATAACACCCCAACTAAGCATGCCAAGTGCACAGTTCAGCTTTTGTGAAGAGTAAAATTCACATTAACATGGAAGGAAGCTGAATTCATTCATTAAAATTGGTTAAAGTGACAATGTTTCAGTTTGTTGTGGACCATTACTAATCAAACCTTCATAATAGTCTTGGATAAATAAACTGTCACTCACTTTCTAATGCATGAATTAGTTATAATAAGCTTTGTCATGCTTTAATTTTTATTTGGATAAACAGAACTGGATAAACTCCTTTATGTCTGAAATTTGTATCTAGAATGATTGCTGAAAAATATATTAACAATGTAGATACTATTTTCTAGACTAATAATCAAGTATAGTATAAGTCATGAGAACATACAAATTAAGTAAATCCTACTACTTTGAAGACCATATTCTTCCTTTATCTTATATTACTATAAATTTTAAACAAAACTTGCTAAATTACAGAATCAACAACCAAGTGTATGATTTTCCATTGCACATATACACACTAACACTATGTACAAATTAACTAATGAGATCATTATATATATATAACTTACACTAAAGGATTAGTTAGTCAGCATATAAATGTCCATTCACTGGTACATGATACAATCCAAAGATTGCAATGCACAAAACTTGAGCTGCCTTTACATCGGCACAACTTATTACAGCAGACAACTTTATATTACACTAGTTAACAATCTTTACACAACACACGTACAACCCATCAGCACACACAACACAGTTATGGATGCATACACACATGCACTAACACAAACAAAATACAGTACATGAGAATCTTTTCATTAGTCCATACCTGTGCTTATTACATTACATATGTCGAGCCATTTGCCTCTCACAATGCTAGGGTCTGAACCACACACATCAATACATGCTTCAAAATACAATGCTATAATATAACTTTCAAACTGACTTAATATTAAGTTAGAATGCCTGTCGAGGAATAAATGTGTTAAATTTGTTATTGATTTCAAGCTTATCACTGGCAGTGTTTGGGTACAAGGGAAACATTTACCATTGGTACAATCAATAGCTCATAATACTGAATTGCACACACAGTTCGTAAGATATTATTTGGAGTGCCAAAAATCAAACCTTTTACTATCAGCCTTACTAAGAAACCAGACCTGCACAGGAGAGTAACCTTTCACTACAGCAGCAAGAATTGTATATAATTTTTAAATTAGCATTTTTATTCCATACAAAGAATTTATGTATAATGTGTGAACAAAATACACAGACAAAATATCTCTATGTTGTGTTTACAATCATCCAACAAGACCTGATAAGTGCAGCTCTATGTGCCATAGAGGCAGTTTTTCCTTTTTGATGCATAATTAGATAATACTGTATAATATTACATAATTAGTTTTAATGATTAACTATAACTCGGCAGTATGAGAAGTAATTGGTATATTTAGGTTAGATGAGGGCGACAATCTAGTTTAGGATCAAAATACATAAATTTTATAAACTGTACTACATTATATTATATATATATATAACAATATTCAAAACACTCATAAGCTATTTTTTTTCTCTATACAACATCTCATCCACTGTAGCTTGTTACTGTAGTACTGTACCCTGTTATAAATATATATTTCATGGTTTGGCATCATCCTCCTACAACTTGAGTCTGGTTTAATATGAGGGAGCTATTTTAGTATTACACTCTGATTTCTAAAGTTTAAGTTCTCTCCAACAAAATAAAACGCTCATAACCATGACATGCTGACAGTTGAGGACGTGCAACATATTACCCTCACTGGCTGACTGCACAAAAAATATTAGAAGTATTAACAGAAAAATAGTAAAAACTAATTATCAGTGTCAATGGCAGAGCTACTGTACTCATATTACAGCATTTACTTAACATTTATTTAATCCTCTACACTCGCCATCAATTTGTTACAAATTGACTTATTGTATACTGTATTCTCATTTAAGTTTTGGAGAGTGCAATGGTTAAACATGGTAAAGCTAACAAATGAGCTTTCATAGCATATACTGAGTGTGGCACACATCTTGATGCTAAACTAGACTGCAAACTTTAAAATGGAATGTGTAAGGCTTGAAAATAAAGCACTGATATACATAAGGCACCAATATATATTTTCATTAACACTAAAATTGTAAGCCTTGATTCACATGGCTACATTTACATTGAGCCAATTTATATACATTGCCAAAATAGAAAGATTGCTTTGAATTATAAAATCATTAAGATTATGGCACTGCAATCCCCTAAATCAGCTCTGGTGATGGTAGGGAGGAAGAGAAACTCCTCCAGCTATTACGTAAACGCCTCCACACAGAAACTTCTCCATCTACACGCTGTGGAAATTTAAGCAATATAATATGTCGAGTAAACAAAAATTAATGACTACAAGGGCCAAAGATATATAATTGTCCTTCGTCAATTTGCAAACTATATCATAAAAGTTATTGTACTCTACAGTAAGTTAAAATAATATTACAGTAATACTATATTTATTTTATTAACCAGCATTATATATCTCATATACACTGACAAGCCAGTGTATATGAGAGTGTGTATCTCTCATATACTCTGGTAATAAAAACCCTTACCCGTGTATGAAAGGTGTCTGCAATTCTTCGGAGTTCTTGACCAACCTCAACCTCCATTGTCACATCACAGGAAAGAGCTCTGGGCTTTCGCCATGCTGGTCGCGACCTTACTACATATCTGCCACCAGCTCCCATAAAGGAATCGCTGGATTCTGAATTTCCAACAGGAGACTGTGCCGAAGGGGTAGAGGATGGAGGAGTGCAAGCTCCACTTGCTCGACCCTCTGTGTCAATGATCAAGTCTGGAAGTGCCAGCACCAAGACTCGTCGACGATGTCCTCCGTTAACTGCAAATGAACACAAATTAAAATATTCACACCTTAATTAGCTAATATAAAGACATTTCTGTAAATGTAAATTGTACATTTAAAAAGATATATTATACGTCACATATGCTCTCATGCCATCTTTTTTCTAGATATTTAAACTACAAAAATGTCCCAAAATCCTGAATGTTTATAAAACAAGATCTACAAAATGCCCCACGGTCAAATATAATTAATAAAAAATTTCCCACAAAAACCTGACTAAAGGAGTACTGTACTGTGTTGCGAGTGTTTTGGCCCCACAGAAGGTTGTCCCAGAGGAAGGACATATTTCTGAAAGTATGCCTGCTAGAGGACACTTGCCATTCTAGCCCAAACATCAAGTCGGTGAAGCTGTTGGGGGCAGTGAGAATAGTGCATGCATGCATCCAGCACACATGAGAGGTAACGCCCCATTGATCATGCTGCATTCAATGAGGCACACGTCAGGGACCCCAAATGATCGAGGTAAGATCCGTTCTGTATTTGATTCACCTCAGTGCCAGTGAGCTAACGTGCAATGACATTTAATGACTTCATTAATGTACCTGTGTAGTGCCCAGAAACTTTGGTATGGGCACACTGGACACCCCCCCCCTGGACATTACCGTTGGAAGGATAGAGGGGACAATGTCTCCTGTGAACGCTGAGGGAATGACATCTGACCCATACATGAATCCTTAAGGGGTCATGCAGTTTACAGTTGTACACTGGCTTGGGGACCATTCAAGCTTTGTGTGCTGTGACGATTTTAACGTCATCTGTTGAGCGTGCCCAACCCCTTTTTCAGTTCCCCAGTGGAAGGCTGTGATCTTACTGACACCTTTATAGGTTCATTCATACTTTTACATTTTTACTCATTAGAAGTGATTTGGGTGGTACTTTGGTCGACTGGAATCAGTTCACCCAGGGCAGTCCTAACTCAAGACGTGTTTCAGTGGGAACAAGTGGACAGAGTCAGTGGAGGCTGTGATAACACAGGAGGTTTTTGTGAATGGCTCTACGTATCCCAGGATAGCCCAGTTGAGTTACGAGACAGAATTAATGTCTGTCAAGGTCTGTTATAGTTGAAGAGGGGAGGGAGGGGGGCAGGGGGGAGAGGGGGAGAGAGAAAGAGAGAGGGGAAGGGGTAGAGAGAGAAAGGAATATGTCCCTCTTTATGGAAGAAGGAAGATGATCTAACAGTACACAATGAGAAGAGCCACCAGTGGTTGGCAACTACAGACCAATGTCACTTTTCCCCATTAGTACTGGTAAAATTCTGGAAACAATCTATCGGCAAATGATATCAATTTTGGACCATCATCGACTACTATGTGATCGACAATATGGTTTTATAAAAGGCCGAACTGCTGCTGATCTCGTGCGAAATCTCTCCACTGCATTGCATCAGTCACTGCACGAGTACAAGCTCATGTGTGTTGTTGCTCTGAACATCGCAAGTGCGTTTGATCAGGTCTGGCGCTCTCGATTAAAAGTAAAGCTTTAAGCACTAGGCATTTTGGGCTCCATCTTAGAGCTAATAAAGGTCTACTTTCAAGAACTAAGAGTAGTCCAATAAAGCAGAATCTGAAAGCCACTCACTCTGTGCCATGTACCACAGGGTAGTGTGCTTGGCCTTCTGCTGTACAATGTCTATTTCAACGATCTGCATCACATCATTTAAGAAGCTCAAGCCTATCCTGACAACTGCAAACCTTTACATTTGGAAAGGAAGAAATGCCAACTGCTACAAGACTCATCAATCACAGACTTTCCGGATTCGATTTTCCGCTGTGTTATTAAAGAAGTGGAATCGGATAGCCCAAGTCCCAAGATCTAATTGCGGAACTCTGACATCAACTCTGATCAATCGCATGTGAGAGGATGCTAATTTATTAGGACTGGAAATAATTAAGACACCAAAACCGTGCTAGTCGAGTCTCTTAGTAAAAATTTGTTTTAAACTTGAAATGAGCAGGAGTCTCCCGACTTGTTTGCCCACTACAAGCTCTCCAGAACACGACCGGCTAATCTAGATTCAATCGATGTTGGGTGCACGGGGAATGGCATTGGGAGAGAGGCGAACTGGGAGTGAACGATGCCCCAATCGTCCCACCCTGCCCAGGATTCGAACCCAGGTCTTTCCTCGCAGAGCTTGAAGCCACACCACAACGAAGTGGATCTTCGTATAATAATATATAATGAGAAGTGTCCCCAGCTTATATTAGTTTAATTTGGTCTAACATTGTCGAAGGTCTCACCACCAAACCAAAACCAAGTGGAAGGAAAAATAATTTGACTAAAACGTTTGAGAGCTGAAACTTCTCGCGTATCCGCACTTTATAAAATTGCTTCTTTGTTAAAACTGTAAGGGGAAAAATATTCACAAACTAGAGCGAACAAGGACTTTAGTAATGCAGGCCGTTCTGTGGGTGAAGTGATTACCTCAGACACCACAAGAGTGGTGCGAAGACGGAAAAGTAGCCAATGTGCCGCCCACGATAACTGCTGCATACACCACTAGCCAGTCCTGTACTAGGAAAACCCGGAGGCTAAACCTGCCTTGCTCTCCACAACCCAACCCTTAGCACAGTCGTCCCTAAGAGCCAGAATCCCGCGAGACGGTCATCACCCAGGGTAATGGAGGAACAAATGAGCGTGCGAGGCTCAGGTTTCACGCCAATATGACATCCACACCACAAGGAAATAAGGGTCATTACACCCGCAATAATGACTGGTGGGGGGGGGGGGGGACAGCTTACTCGTCTTGCCTGCAGACATATAGCCTGACGGGTGATGGTCCTTCGCTTTGCCTATTTGCTTCATAGGGAAGCTACATATTGTTCAAGAGTTGTGCAGTAATTTTTGTATTTACAAAAATTTACCTATGCGTAATGAATTTATAGAAATTACAACTTTTCAACAGGTATTATTAATTGATAACAATTGGTTTGGTGTATGTATGTATGCCCATTTTTGAAACATCCGCGCACGGTGACCAATGATAGTTTTATTTATGTGAGATTTAAAACGCGTGCTTCACACCAACCAGTGATCTGTCCTAAATGACCCCTTGCCCACAAACTCTCCCGTCCTCATTTTGTTTTTTAAATATATGTAATTCCGCAAAATAATTGTTAATGTGGATTTGTGCAAGATGTTGTATCTTGTGTCTATTCCTAAAGCCTTACACGCCTTAAATGTTAGCAAGCAGTCCATAGGGAAGGTTGTCGCGTGACTGCCACAGGCACGTCTTGCTTCTGTTTTTACAAAATATCTATTTGGATATCTACAAAAAGGATGATATCCAAATTGAATGTGATGTGAGCCTCTGTGTCTGCCAGCAGCAGCAGCAGAGGGGGTTCAAAATCTTCACTTTGCGCTTATAACGTCTCAAATTTAACTTTAATTAAAAAAAAATCATATATCCAATTCATATGCAAAACTTTGATGAAGTCGATTGTATTTTCCTTTCGCAAATTTCCCTTAGCCGAAGCCTATACTTGGAGACTAATGTGTGTTTGAGGCATTATGTGATAATGTAATTCAAATTCCCAAATGAAATTGCATTTAGATAAATTTTGCCATTTTTAATGAATATACTTAGTGGAATATATGCATCTACTAATCTTTTCGAAACAAATACTTTTCACGTTCATATTTTCTTCGTATTTCACTATCATACCTTTTTTACTTAAGTTCCCTGCGTGTTGATTCGAGGAAGACAAGAGAATAATGCAATGATATACATTTTGCAGGTTTTTGGCCTCACTGGAGGTTAAGTGAAACTTGCTTGGCCTTGGTACGAGTAAAGGCGGAAAGTTAAACCCATTTGCCTCTATAAAGGGTGGTAAGACAGTCTACCTTTAATGTAACGCAATGGAAAACCCGTCAAGCCCGATAAGGAAGGACAAAAACAATAAGAGAGAATAGGAATAGGGTGTAAGAGGGTAAACTTTTGGGAGTGGGTGTTTTGTAGCAGGTGTTGGGGAGACGCACTGGGGGAGGGCACAAAGACCCTGGCCTCCACCACACCAGACCAGACCCTCTACACTTGGAGCCAGCAGGTGGAGGCTGCCTCCGGCCACCTTGCCCACAGAACATCAATCCCTCCCCTTCGCTCTTCCCACCTGCCTCGCCCAGCTATCGTAACCTGCCCCTGGCCTTCATCTCTCCTCCACTACACCCCCCTCCCTCCCCCCGTTACACACACACATTTATAAATGCATATATATACGTATATATTCAATATTTGCTCACAAATATGTTAGTACCTGAATTGATCGTTGTATAAATGGTATTTAATATATTAATCAGTAACAAGTGATCGTGCAGATAGCCTTAAATTTCTCTCCATGTGATTGTAATGCAAATATACGCTGTAAGAGGGATACACGCGCTGACAGTCGCTTCTCCTACCTTTGTTACCCGCTACCTTCTGATAACGTGAAGTCCCTAATCTATGCCATCAATAAAATTAATAATTTATTTTCAATATATTTCAACAACCCTAGCGACATTACTGAGGTGTGGTGCAAGTGTGTCCTGACACCATGGACAGGTGTCGCTGCACCTATTGGGGGTGTAGTTATCGACAACACTTCACCCACATTTTTGTTTGTTTTTTCCAAGACGAATATTCATACAAGATGTTGTGTACAGGGGTTACCACACCTCTGCTGCAGTAACAATTATGGCTCAATATTATGTCGACATTCAAGTTCAAGTATGTTTATTGAGACAAGAAAAAATTACATATCAAAGGGATAGAGTAGCTTAGGCTATTTCGACATTCTATACAACCTAATCTTCAAGTTTAACAATACAATTTGAACAGAACTCACCATACTAAATATAACTCCATATATTTTGCTCGCTTAGGTCTGATAATATCTAACAACATATAACCGATATACAAATTAAAATCATATTAATGTGGTGCCGACGGACGGAACGGAAAAACAGGATGGCTTTGAAACTAAGGAAAAGTCCTCACTAGA